AGAGAGAGAGAGAGCGAGAGAGCGAGAGAGAGAGAGTTAAAAAAATGCGAGGATGGACAACTTCTGTCGTAAAAAAGATAAAAAATTTAATGAAAACGTTTCGGTCAGAGACCTTCTTCAGTTATTTACAACTTTTGAATAAAAAAGAGCTTTAAATAAGATCGAGGTGCTAGTGATCACGTAATTACAGGTGACAACTAATGAATAAGATACAAAATCACGTGAAAGAGCAGAAAGTGGTGTTAATAAAAAGATGACAAAAAACAAAATCAACAAAGCGAAAAACATCGAAAAAAACAAGCCACAAAGAAAATAATGGACAAAATACGAGAGATAAAAACTAAAAAACTAAACTTGCTAAAACGAATAGCGCAACTGAAGAGGCAATGCGGCAAGCATTAGAAAAGGATAGACCCACTCTTACCTACAACTGTAAACCGTACCAAAATCCCAAAACAAGGCCTTTGGAGCCTGAAAGGGTAAATTAGCAACAAAATCCCTGGAGGGGCCCTTTAATAATATTAATCATAATAAGAACCCTTAGGAACCTGGTTAAGTTATGCACTCATACATATTGCGATCTTCATTTACATCGCAGCAAACCTATGTCGGACAAATCTTTGAAGAAATTGATCCACCAACCAGGACCATCCCTTACGAATTGTGACCCGTAGGATTCAATTCTTTGATTAGCTGTGGATCTGCCAATATTAAAACATTTGGGGCCAGCATTTTTATCAGCATGGGATGACCTAAGGAAAGTATGAAGTACCTCAATCACACTTTTTTCAGTCCCATCATCCGATCTGATCTTCCGGGGTATACCACCTAACTGTTTCACGGTGTCCAGGTAGAACTTGGCAATCACTTCTGAATTCTTATTTGTGGAGCCTACCTCCAGCCAGAGAAGCCTTCGGGAGAAACCATCAGCACAGCCACGCACGCTGAACCCAAATGGCTTTAAGTAATCGTGGCCATCAATATGCCAAATAAAATTTGCCTCTTTTGTATGATATGCACGACGACGTAACCTTTTCTTTCACCAGGTTTCTACACCGTCGGGATCTAGTTCCTTCAAAAGAGTCACTGCTCTTGCTCTTTTGACTATAATTCAGTCCCCTCTCTCTTATCCTTGCCCACATCTTGCGGTATCCCACAAAACAACCACTTTTACCAAGTTCCTTCTCAATGGCACTTCTCAGTTCATCATCAGAGATGTTAGTTTTTCTTAATAATCCTATAGAGGCAAGCCTTCTCTTCAGAGTTGATAAACTAATGCTCACCCCATGGAGCTTCAGAAATTCAAGTATTTCCAGATTATTGTAGTCTTGTCTGAAATATTGTGATATGAGCTCCAGATAATCTTCAGCGGATCCGTCATTTACTCTTATACATGGCGTATATATTGGCAAAGGCATCTCTTCACTTCGTGAATCAGGTAAGACAAACTGGTAGTGTTAAAATTCCCGCTAAAAGCCTTCACAGCACGTGAGCATGCGTATAGCGGTTGCGTCTCAATATAGAGAGCTGGAAACTAAATTAAAAATTAAAACTGGACTGTGTAAAAATAAAACTGGACTGTAAAAAAGTAAAACTGGACTGTGAAAAAAGTAAAACTGGACTGTGGAAAAATAAAACTGGACTGTGGAAAAATAAAACTGGACTGTGAAAAAAATACAACTGGACTGTGAAAAAATAAAACTGGACTGTGAGCCTCCTGAACCATCGTATAAGATACTATTGTTCATTCTGTAATACAGTGGGCTCTGTCACTTTCCCATGTGTGTCCGTAGGCGGGGTCGGTTAGCGGTAAAGTAAATGCGCTTTTTCGGGCGCTAAAAGGGCCAAGAGACATGCGTCGAGAACAACATATTGTCCGAATAATGTGGGTACCTATCAGCTGTTAATGTCTGTTGGAGATATTGCATCAAATCCCAGCCCAACTCCTGACACGTCCAAAAATAAAAGAATGAGTGTCCGCAACATTTTTGCTGCTATTTGTCCTTTTTTTTGAGAAAACAGTTCGGAAAAATCAAAAGCGTGTCCTTTGCGAGGTCTGCATGTCATTAACACATGCTCGCTGTTCTAGAGTCGCTAGCTTTAACGTAAAGCAAGTCCGTGCCGACACACCACTGACATGGACATGTGGCCAGTGTTTAGTATCCTTACTGCCTTTCCACACATGCTCTGAGTTGGACAACCACTGACACTTTTCTTGATGAAATCTTGGTTGATAATATTAAAGAAATCCTCCAACTGCAGTAATCTTAAAGTCATGCATCTGAATACTCAAGCAATGACGTCAACCTTCAAAGAGTTTCTACTTACGATTAAGACATGTACATTGGATGTTGCTTTACTTAGTGAAACATGGTTGCGAGATCAAAAGGAACTGCTTGACTACGTGTCAATAGATAGGTATGCTACAGAATTTCGCCATCGTGTGGCCACAAAAAGTGGGGGAGTGGGTGCCTACATAAAAAAAAAAAAAAAAAAAAACGTTGCCTATAGACGGTGCTTTGACATCGAAAAAACTCAGCCGGACCTGGAGCACTTATGGCTGGAGCTCTAAGGGAAAAACAAACACAGTAAACTGTTGATTGGGGTTATTTACAGGTCAGATTTACTGATGACGGCTTTCTATTGGCTAGTGTTCCGATATTACTGCTTTTTATATTGTAGATTCATACTTTTTTATTGCAGTTTTTCATTTTTATATCGTAGTATCTTAACAGGTGAAGAGCTTCTAGGTTGATACACTGTAAATAAACCATTATTAAGAAACTACTATATAAAAATGAAAAACTGCAATAAAAAAAGTATGAATCTACAATATAAAAAGCAATGATATCGAACTATAAAAGGATATTGTATAAAAATGTAACAGAGATTGGTAATAGTGATACAATCGTATAAGCTTCTAGGTGGATACACTGTCGATAACTCATTATTATTCATTTGGGTGGTGGACCTCGCAGGTGCATTCCAGAGTCCGTGCGCTGCTTTTCAGGTAACTAAAACAAACTATAAATCTATGAAAATGTTATCAAATGGAAAATGCGATGAAATTATAATCTATAGTGATTTGTCCTCTTCTGAGGAGAAGGAAGCCGATAAATTAAAGATTAAACGAGACTTCTGGTAAGTTGAAGTTTGATGGTAGTTCGAACATCCCATGATAAAATTCCATTTCGTCATCATTCAGTGTAAGGGATCCCATGAGAAGTTTAGACGCTATCGACATTGCTGATCTTAGCTGTATGCAGGACGGGTGTCATATATGAACTTCGTAATGCGCCTTGATCACCATAGAATCTCAGTGGCTCAGTGGTAGACCATTGGAGAAAGTTGCATCAAGTCACCCATTTATTAGTATTATCACTAAAATAGTTCTTACGTAAGCTTCTGGAATGTTCCAGAACACTTTGCGAATATATATAAAGACTCACTTATGTAGTAGTAAGAGTTGTTGTCGGAGCTACGACTGTTTTGAAAGCTATACCGAGAGAGAGTTACTGCGGAAGACCGCTTATTTCAAGGAGCTTTGGAGACAGCAGTGAGATTGTGTCAGTGGTGAGCTGGGATATAGACTGTGGTGGGCTTAATTAAGTTTATTAACGATAAGTATTGTACTGCTTTTAGGAGTCGCTCCTTGTTAAGAACATTACTCACTGTTTAATAAAGTAGTTGAGTTTGTGCGATTGTAGTGTTTTTCGGTCGGTTAGATTATACCGTAACAACTCACAGAGACTGGGTTCCTCAAGATATAATTAAGGTTCACCAGGAGAAACCCTAATTAACTGCCTCTGGTGCTTTGTCTTTAGGAAACTTGCACAAGGTGCTGCTTAAAGATTACTTTGTCCAACTTATCTCTTCACCAACTTATCTCTTCACCAACTCTCAAACCTTCCCATGGTTATCTGCCACAATAGGACTCACCAAGGATATTCCTTGCATAAGGCCATCCCATGGTTATCTGCCACAATAGGACTCACCAAGGACATTCCTTGCATAAGGCCATCCCATGGTTATCTGCCACAATAGGACTCACCAAGGATATTCCTTGCATAAGGCCATCTAAACCCAAAAAAGCCTGTCCACTACTCGTTGCGAACACACCAGGGTATCTACCCTCTATTTTCCACTTGTTTTAGGGCATTTATTTGGATTTTTGACCACCTTTTTAATTGGCTGACAATCTCTTAGCCATTTGCCAGGTATAACTCCGAGTCATTTAGAACAAAAATCAACGACTGCTCATGATTTGTGAACAAGGAATAATTTAAGAAATGTTACACCAAGGATATACCAGAAGTATCAAGCTACCACGAATTGATCTCTCTGTTATGATAGGTAGGTAAGACGAGAGCCTCACTGTGGGCTTTATCGAGGAAGTCTAAAGAAAATAATATGCATAGGAAAAAAGCATTAATTCAATGTCGAACAAAAACGTCACAGCTGTATTTGGACTCACGTCCTACAAAGCGAGCAGAAGCTCAGTGTTATGTCATTATCGTGATCCATTATCCCAAACGTCATAGGTGAAGGAAAATATAAGTAAATCGCACAGTGGCAAAAATCATATGATAACTCTCGTATCTTTCTTTTTTCTAAGCGGCCACGTGGAATGTTTCGATTCAGTTTTACTATCGTGCATGCAGAATTACTCTTAGAAATGGAGCTTTTTTTATTAGTCTTATTATTCCGTCATGCCCGAAGTGCTTACACCATGATTCCTTTTTTCAATAAATCGCGATGAATGCCTCTTACCGTAATTTAAATCCTTCTATGGATTTGTTTAATGAATAGCCTCCTGTCCTTCATTTAAGTGAGTCCTCATTCTTAGGCACGTTTTGATTGGTGAATAACAACAGCTTCTTCAAACATGGTCCATTACAAATGCAATTTTAGTCGTTTGTTTTTCTTCGCTTTAGCATAACTTCACGGCTATTTCCACTAGTGTTTAGCGGCCCAAAATCTTGAGGGTGCGGCGTTACTTGGTGCGCCGACATTCCCCCGTTAACTATGAGCCTCTTGAATACAACTTCAATCAGACCCCGTGGATCCGAAACCTTAAAACTTTATGTGGTATTCGGATTCCTTGTTACTGTGTTCGCTTCTAATTCCAAAGGTAAGTACGTTTACGAATATATAATCTTCAAAAATTAAACATCGAAATTAACTAATAATTGGATGGATTTTTCTGAAGTGAAAACTCGTCACATAAAGGTCAGGCAACATTGAGTTAGCATCATTGGATCCTCCAAGTCGTAATAGAAATAATACTTTATTCATACCAAGCCTTTAAAGTTTTAAACTGAGCTGTTTTCTTAAACACGATTTAAATGGCTTTTCCTCCTAGAGGCTGCTAAATCGATGCTTGTCGACTTCAAATATACAAGTTAGTGAATAATTGAATCCGGCTGGGAAAAATTTCAGTTTTCAGTTCTCCGTTTCTGATTTACATTCAGGTAAACCCGGTTGAACTAAATACGCTTTGCCGCTATGATTGTATTAGTTCACAGAAGTTCAAAGGTTACTCATTTTGGCTGAGTAAGCTTACATTCATACTTGCTGTCACGTTAAACCAGTTTCAGAAACTGGAGACCAATCAGTATCGACACAGAGCATTACAGAATTTAATGTTGGTACATGTTGGTAATCAAGTGAGACTATCAAGGCCCACTCGCAATCAATTTTCTTTGCTTTTGATACGCAGGAGAATGAAATGAAGACCCCAAAAACTTAGTACTTGATGAGTGGTTCTCCACCTCAGTTACTCATTTCTCTAAGGGTGATATGTATGTCTGATCTCCCGTTTTTCTGCCCGTTTGCTGGATAGCGTATTGATATTGCTGGTAGAGGTTTACATATTAAGCCCTAATTAAAAGCATGGTATTCAAGAAAAGTTACCAAAATAATTCGTTATTCTTGATTACTTCTTGCTCACCTCAAAGACGACGATGTCGACCCTCCGATGTTGCCATTCCCTCTTCCCAGACGTACTCCAGGGTTCGTTTTCAATGGTGGAAAATCTAACGCTGCGATTCACTTATCAGCATTTCTTGATCTCACTTGTGCTGACTCGAAGCGAGTTTGGCCTATGATTAAGAAACTTGCCAACAAGTATGGACCAACGAAGATTCGTCTGACAGTTCATTTCTTCGCCCTCGCGTACTTTGACAACGCCTTCAGGGCTTTAAAGGTAACATTAGACAGCGTCGAGGTCTTCCATATTTTGCCTTTACGTCCAAAGGCTTCGGAAATTTGTTTGCAAACGCCCTCTTCAAGGGTACGCTATTTGAAATTTCGAGATGATCACATAGAAACCTCGCGACAGTCACTAGATTTCTGAGCAGCGCTTCCACTTGGCTACATACACTTCAATTTCACAAGTCAACTTCGTTGGCCTTTCAACCGTTACTATAGCTTCTCCTACCCCTACCCCTGTATTAAGTATTAGGGATTCTTTGGCATCTTTTTTCTTCCTTATTCCCCTTTAGTACCGTGAGTCCTTTTATAGAGCCTAATATTTGCAACCACCAGTTTGTATTAACTCCAAAGAGGCGTGGTCATAATGGGAAAGGGAGGGGCTGGAAGGAATGAGAGGAAAAATTGAACTTTTAAACGCGTCTTTAAAGTAATTCCCGGTTTTACACAAGACAGTTCATTGAGCATAACACTGAGTGCTATGTCGAAATTTGTCGGTTAGGTCGCCATTTTTCAGGCTTCAAGTCAAGTAGGTCTTGCTTCAACTTTGACATGGCATGCACCCTGTTTACACTTTATTTCACAGAGTGTGTTCATAGTGGCAGCCTACAATTCGTCTTTACTGTTCCCATGGGTGGATGATGTTTTCAAAAACCAAGATCAGCTCAAGAATTCGGCGAGGACCTCGACAATGAGCCCAGAGGATATTGTACAGTAAGAGATCAGTCAAGCAAGTGTATTTCCACGAGTTTGTTTTCGGCTTTTAAGAGCATTCGGTGTCCATTCCCCTTGGTAAAAACAAAATGTCTCTTAGGATGCAGGAGTGGAAGAAGAAGTCCACCAATGATGATGTTGACTAGCATCTTGCTAAAGAATACAAGAGGGCCCTTCTCATTGACAAAGAGAAAGTCGTCCGCACTTTATGACCCCAACTCTCTTCCCCCCTCTTCCGCTCCTGTTAAAATTGTAATTGACTAAACGGTATCAATAACTATCTCGTTTTGATAACTCGATTATGTTTTGTGCCTCACAACATATATGTTCATTGCATCCTTCTATCAGTTTAAGATGAAAACTTGTGTTATTCAAATTGCCAGAGTTATCACGCAGATGGCAAAAAGAGCTGGCATTCTCTCAAGGGTGATGAGTGACGGACTAAGAAGTCATGACATCGAGTACGAGGCACGCATGGCTTGGAAATTCGCTTGTTCTAGTAAGCTAATTAGGTGAAGAGCCCCCTTAAGGGGTAGTAAAACATCAGGGGTTGTAATATTGCTGCGATTAATATATATACACATCTGCAGCCGGGTTTGAGACTCTTTACCCTTCGGCGCGCGATTTCGTCGTCGATTTTATTGTGTATGGTCGCAAGCAAATACAGCAGGGGGAAAAAACAAAGAGCAATAGTGCTCAGCTATCTATTGCTGGGAATTTACAGTTCACAAGATCAGGCATCATGGGTAAGTTTCTACGTGTATTTTCCACAGAGGCAGTGATGGGAACACCTACGTTCTTTTTAAATGACGTATTTATTGGAGGTGATGCCTCATCAAACTGGGGTGAAAAACAATGGAATGGGATGATTGACAAAATTTTGACGTAAGTAAGTACGTCCATTGATACCTAGTCACTCTCTTCTAACCCAAAGACCCAAGAATTTATCAAAAGTATCAAATCGGGTACTTATGTCAATTTCTGCACGGTTACATGAGGGAGAGAATTGAGGAGTAGCTAACGATTTTTCATTAAGCGTGTATGCAAATCCTCAATATTTTAAACCCATCAAGCACCAAACTGCACATGTAATCAATCTTTTATGTCTCATCAAACTTCCATTGAACTATTAATTTTTTAATCGTTTCATGGAAATAACTTTTTGTTCTTTCATAGTGGACTGAATTGAAGTTGACATCTTGGCACGTCGACAGCTGCCATAATGAACTTAAAGTCTGCGATCGTTTGAATGTCGAGTGTGGTTCTTCGTTGGCTGAATTAAGAGGGAACAGATCTGGTTTGCTGGGGCATAAATATCAGTGACTTGTTGCAAATTCCCTTCCTTGCAATGCTTGACATCCCAACATTGTTTCACGATTGATTAGTCTTGAACCAGTGGTATTTTCGACTTTGTTTGTTTGTATTCACTATTAGCGAACCGTTTTGGAGTCCGTTGTCAGTTTCGTTATGTAAGTTACATTGTAATGCATTATAAGCTCTCATAGAAGTTAATTAAAATGCCACCATTCCTTTATTTTTCTTTCCTTTAATCTGACCCTGGGCTGTAACAACTCGTTTAGTTTTGAGGGGCTCCTAAGAAAATATAATCAAACGGAACTTTTGATAGACCCACATTTCGACCAGCACGACTAGTTTTCTTCAGGGCCGGCGCTGTAATGGATACAAATTTTCATACCTAGCCTGACAAATTCCTTATATCTCATACAAGTACTTGAACGAGCACCAATGTAAAATGTTGTTTTGAGAGAATAGGCCATGCAAAGCTGTTTTTTTGGTACAGCCTGTAAACGGTGTTCCACTTCTCTTTGGGTGGTTGGCCCCAAGATCTTAGTAAGCACGCACTAGCCTCGTCGCAGCGTAAACGTTCCGCCGTCAGCCTAAGTACACCGCTGAACCACGATGAGGCACCTCAAAAGAGCTGGGGACCATCAACCCTTTAACCCTTATATCAGTATGCATATTCTCCATACTGTTCTCTATACATTTCCCATTTCCTAAGGTACTGACACGGAGGATTTGTTTTACAGTCAAGAGGTGATAATTTTCTTTATTCTCGTGACCTTCGTGTTTGATTCAGGGGTGATATTGTAAGGAGAAATTAGATAATTGTTTCTCCTAGGGGTTAAAGGGCTAAGTTGTTAGACGCTCCAACTTCCTCACGCAGAGCTTGGCTAGTTCTCTGGTCAGTAAATCGTTTGTTGAGGGAGCCTCCAGTTCCCTTTTAACAAGGTTCCAGGGAGAGTGTAATGATTTAAAAGAACTAAAAAACTCTTTAACACTGAAAAAAGAGGCTGGCGAAGCCACTCACAAAAGTAATTTCGGAACAGATTGAACTTGTTAGTTACAAGACAAATCTTGATAATTTTATTCACTGGTCCATCATTTTTTGTCGACAAAATCCCATTTCAGGTCTCTGAGGCGGATTTCAGGCCGGCCGGGGGGACCGGAAGTGCCTTTAAAGCGCTAAGGTCTAGAGGTCCTCAGAGAGACATAGTCCCGTACACCCACAATCACTAGAACCCAATTATCCCATACTTCCCTTTTTCTCAGATTTTTACTATAACTTCCATGATGATATTAGTGTTTCATAAATACACAGTTCGTTGATAATTGGAAAGCAGGTCTTTCTGTTTCCGTAATTCTTTTCTAATTTGGTGCTTATATTCAATAGCAGTCCCGACCCGCCTTTTCAAATGCAAATCTCGACAGCAGCCATTTTAAAACTGTATTGATGAAGACACATCACTCGCATGTTTGCAACTTAAGTACAGCCGACAAGAGAAACGCGGTTTACTTTTAAGAGCGACACGAGTTTGTATTCGTAGAGGGACCTTTTCAATGGAGTGTAGAGGTACAGTTCTTTTGACCTTGGTGTAACCTAGTGCAACAACTTGAAGATGACCAACGGGAGGTTGTGTTGAACATGCCGGGCATCATGAGGAAACATTTTTCTTTAAAATGTACACCTCTTTCGCACATAGAACAATGCGATCACTAAGAAAATCACGATCGGTTTGAGTTCGTTCTATAGATTTGAATATAATCTATTCCAGCGCCGCCTTCTCCTAATTTCAATTACGATCATTTTTACATCAACTCAGCGCAAAAATTGTTGTCTCTGGGCTGCTGTTAACTGTCTCTTAATTTTCGGCAAGAAACTAGACAGAACTTATCGAGAAACTAAACTCACTCAATGTCATATTCGCCTTTAACTGCAATTATAAGAAAAATCTTTTTCTGCCCAAAATTAACGCATTTCACACGTACAAAAGATGTGGTTAAATTGAAAAGGAGACGAACCTCGCACCCATTTCAACCAACGTGGTCCACCATAAAAATTGCAGAGATAAAAATTAGCAGGAATGATTGAAATGAAAGTAAAAAAGACAATTGAGGCGGGTTTAACGGTACGGTCACGTTAATTAACATATAACCAAGGAATTAATTCTTAGTTAAATTAATAACATAAATATCATTACTATTTCGCGGACAGTGAGCCCCACTAAAACTTGACTGTGGAAAAACACGCATCACTACTTTATTTTTATTTGGTTCAAGTATCAGCCATAGTGATCGGTTCGTGAATTCAGTTTTCTTCGAGCCTCTAAGTAAAGACACGCCGTTTAGTTGTGTTGCAACGTACCAACAGGTCATGGCTTGGTGTCGCTATTGTATTTAATTGCGATGCAGCACATTGGCGGCAAACATTTGTTTTGATGCTCTGCTCAGTGTGTTGTGCTCGCTTCACACCTGTCTCTTCCGCTTATGTTGCGCAACTTCGTATTCACATTTTCCTGATACTTAAACTTAAGGCACGTTCAGTCAGTATCACTTTCCTCAGTACTTGAAAATTTGAGATTATGCACAAAACTGACCGTTTAAGTTTCCACCTTCCAGCTTTATCACGTTAAATCGTAAAAGCGAACTCTACAATGTTAGTTATTTTTACCCACGTTTTGAGTATGAAATGCGCGATTGAAACGGGAAGTGGATAGACATCACGGCTCCTTCTATTCAAATGCCTAAATACGTGGATGACAATTTGGATTGAAGGTAACTAAGTGAAGAGAGAGTATAGATATGGGAATGTATTTTCTTTTCTTGAGATGTCAACAGACCATAGATACTTCATCAAATGATTGTCACTCTCTGAAAGGTTATCAGTAATTTGTAATCCTTAGAAAATTTCTGAAGTCCCCATCTTTCTATATATTACATCAATCACCTATGATTCTAACTCTGTATTTCAATATTTCGTATGTTACCCTTTGCATAATTATCAACATTTCTAAGACATATCAAAGTCACCCTAGTTTCACGAACTACACAGAATTGGCCCTGGATGATTATCGTCTACTTAAAATTTTTCATTCAAAATTTTTTTCTCTTTTCTCGTAACGAGCAGTTTAAGTGCATAGCGCCATGTGGAATTTCTAAAAATTTACTTCGTAATACATTCAAGACCAGTCAAGAGAGAAGACTGTCATTTACATATACAATCACAAACGCTATTCGAAGCTGCGAAATGGTGTTTCGCAACACGTGACGTTTCTAAGCATGCTTCTCTGGCGCGATATTTCTCCGGCGCGAGTGGCCTTGCGGCTTTCAATTAAGAAATCATCCATTTACATAGCAAGTCACGGAGTTAGTTTTTTATATCTCATTCTTACTATTTTTCATTTTTCCTTGCAACAATCACTTAAACCTTTTACAACTCGAGAGTATTTCACCAAGTTAACGAAGCAGTCGTCATAGTAGAGTCACAAAAAGACAAAATTTTTAGTGGTTATTCATTAACGACTCCTCCCTTATAATTTTTAATTAGAGAAAGAAACAATCGATTTCAAAAAGAGCCTTTTATTAGCTTTGTTGAGCCACGAGGAAAACATCACGCTATTGTCTGTGTCCCTTGTCTAACTTCACGCACACTTGGTAAGAATCATTGCGCAAGACTTACTAGATAGCCCGTCGAGTGGTTTCTCATTTTAGTGCGTGACAGCTTTTGGCTCAGTCCTTAGTTTACCGAAAACTTATAAAAGTTCAAGTTAACCCTGAAAAAAAAGAAGAAAAAAAAAGGAAAAATTTTTCACAACAACAACACGTTTCTTGTTTAATCCCAAATATGCAAGCGCCATATTATCGAAGGCACCAGTTACTTCAAGCCTTGGTGGTACTATCACCTTCAGTCGAAGCTCTGGAGGCTGTCTTATTATGAAGATGAAGGCAGTCAAGTTAAAACTGTTGGGGCACAGACCACGAACCCTGCAGAGTGATAAGTAGCTTTTGCAAGCGTCTCCCCGGCAGGAGAACGTCACGGTAATTGTCGGGATCTTCGGAAGTCACCAAAAATTACACAGCAGCACCATTAAAATAATAATAATTATAAAAGTGATAATAATAAAAAAAGGAATTCTCGGACAGAAACGCTAAGTTATAGTTTTATTGACAGTGCATGTCTAACCATCTTAAAACTCAAAAGTTAAAATAACAGTGAGACTCAGTTAGACTCTTTCAAGGCCAATTGGAAAACATGTGGGCCTCCAAACTAAACAAGGACACATGTTTTATTGGCACTAATTGTTTGCCAGAAAGCTTTTCCAAAGTCTACCGTGGACTCAAGCGAACCAGTGCCAGCTTCAAAAGATTTTTTTAATTGGAGTATTAACTTTTTTCTATAATTCAGTGTTTGTGTAAAACAGTTGGAGACTACAGCTGGAAAGAAATTCTCCAGTTAGCAATAGAACTGGTTTAATAGTAGTCGATCGCTCTGACGAAGGGCCACCGCTCGAAACGTCAGCTTTTAAACTCTTTACGGGGGCCAGTTTACGTTATCAACTCAGTTGATAAAACTTAATTACCCTGTTGTACTCTCCCACCAACGCAACATCACAGTTTCTTTAGAAACTTACCCCCTTTATTCACTTGGTTTAATAGTAGGCTGCCGGTTATTAGATGAGTACAATCATTCGACTGTTTCATAAAATAACTGGAGTTAATTTGAATTGTGACCAGATTTTGCTAAATAATATGGCCCCTACATCTTCTCCTGCAGGAAAAATCTAGTCAACAGCGATCACGTTTGACTTGAATGCAAAAATTTGATAAATCGTTCACAGCGAAATTTTCGAATGAACTTCTCAATTACCATTAATAACATTTATTTAACAAAACAGATGAGTTTTGCAGTGATGTATTGTATTTAAACACTCCGTAAAATGGAACTGTTTTTACACCATTGAACAATCCATTTCTCTCTTCTCTTTGGTTTCATTATTTTTAGTGGAGTTTGTTACAAACTTGCTTGGCAAAACAAGACACTACACTCATCACAACAAGAATGAATCCATTCACTACAATGCAACTAAAAAATAGTTTCATTTCACCTACACTTTTAACCTCAGCTGCTTAAAAATTGATAACAATGAAAAAAGATTTATTAGACATTACGTGTTTTATAACCTCATCGCAATCAAGAACAGTTACTTCCTCTGTGAGTAAATTAATAAAACTTTATTCCTCATTTTCAGTTAAGTGATCAGTTCTACTTGATGAAAGACTCGTCATCATATATTGCCCTGAAAGGCAAAAGACTCTTTAACGAGGAGTAAAAAAGCAAAAGGAGTGGAACAGAGTCGAAAGGTAGAGACCAAGAAATCTGTACGATCAGAGACATTGAACTAAAAATTAAGAGAGATAAAAACCAACTAGAGACAAGGATCAGAACAAGACATGAACATCAAGTAAATCCCACGCTGGAGTCTGAGGATTGGGGGCAAACAACAAACCACTTAAAGGAGTATCATTCAATATTGGACCTTAGTTCTCGATTTTTCCTAGCAAAACTTAAACGATGGTTTTTTAAGACCATTCGGAAACAGGATTTTTTGTCAAACTCCAGGGTATATGGATTGCACACCTGTCCATCATTTAACGAACTTAATTGCTTTTAGTAAAAGCAATTGCACATAACTAAGAAACACTGATTCAGTTGCAATATATTGGCTTTGAGAAACAATGTTGTTCACTAATGTGTAGCAAATATATTTCCTTCAAATCCTGATGCATTTTTCAAATAAACAAAGCCCCTCCAAAAGCCCGGAAGACAATCCTGATTAAACCAATTTTACTAACCAACTGAAAATCGAAGTCCTCAGATTTCGTTTGTTTATGTTTTTTGTAATATTCCTGACCGAAGATTTACAGCTTTTAAGGTACCAGTGCCGCCTCTATAATTACCACGTGGCGAAAGAGGCATCAAAGACACTATCGCATCAGCTGTTCTGATGGATCATTTTAATTTTAGTCTTGACTAGGACACTGCAATACTACAGAATTAAACAATATATAATTCTCGTTGCTTCTTCAGTCTAGTCTTGTACGGGGTTCATTTCAACATCTCTTAGTTATTTCCACACAGCTGTTTAGCTATGTACAGGAGGCGGGTCACCCGTGAAGCTTCGTGTCTTGTGGAATGCTGGCTCTTCACAACAGGGCTGTGATGAAATTTTTATATTGTTTTGGTGCCAGAATCTTTACGTTTATTGTTTTTTTTTTTCTGAGATAAGAATCATTTCTGCCAACAGGCAGAATAAACTTACTACCTTGGTTGCATGAAACTGGGGAAAAAAACAGGAATTTTAAAAGGGAAAGTGGCCTTAATGTCCAGCTAGACATCTCTCCCTTTGAAGCCTTTCCTAGTAGCCTTACGACAGGTAAACTGTTGTTTCCGGAAGGTGTCCAAGCTGTCCTTACTTATTAGATTGTTTTTTTAAATGTTTACTTGTGAGGCATTTTTGCTGCAGGGCAAATGTATATCATTTGTCATATTATTTCAAAGGAAAGTTGTTTGGCACCTTTTGGTTAAATCAATCTTTCAAAATTTTGTCATATTATTTCAAAGGAAAGTTGTTTGGCACCTTTTGGTTAAATCAACCTTCCAAAATTTCAGTAATTATTCGTAACGTTTGCTCCAATAGTAATCACCTTGTTAGCCTTCAATATGTCCAGCGTTAGCCTCAAACATTCCTTGATATTCAGGTGCAATGTTTGGGAAACAATAACAGATCTTTTTTCCAATACTGCGTCAACCTAGGAATAGGTCACGCACACTTAAATTTAAGACTGTTTTCCTTTACACTCAACATAACGTCCTTCGGGCTTCTATGTCAAAGTTGTAACCTTCATATTTCAGACTCACTCCATAGGAAATAATAGAATTTTCCGCTCGGTTGGTTAATTTCGCAATAAAATTTCAAAATCTTTCCGTAATATTTTCAGCTTATTTCCTAGCATTACCACCTTACCGTCGCTATTCGATGACTCACGTAATGTCATGTTGTTCTAAGACAGTGCAATGTGCCTTTTACAATAGCAAAATTCCGCGGATCATCACAAGAAGAGGTCGATTCATTCATTTTTACCCCAACTAATGCATGAAAAGTTTTGCAAATGGTTCAATCTTCTTAACCAGTTAATGTTTGTATTTAACAACATGTTGCAGTTTCTAGCATTACATTTTTCGAGACTTCTAAAAATTTTGTAAGAATAAACCTGAAATACCTCTTGAAACTACCTGAGCAAATTCTGGTTACAATAACAAACACGAACTTGCTATTTAATACTAGGGATCGTTTAAAGATGATAAACATTACATTTAATTCGCTGACCAGCGACAGAGCGTTCAGTTCGAAGAGCATCAGCCACAGCTTAAAAAACCAATTATCCACAAAGACTGTCTGAACTTTCGACAATAACTCTTCGTGTTTGTGATCGTTGTTTGTCCTCTTGAAGCAAGCTCTTCGGAGCTTTCTTACGCAAATGCGTTTCCAAGTTCAGATTTTTTCCCTTGAACTTGCCCGCTTGATGGGCACAAGTTTCAGTTACAGTTACAAGCTCTGTTTCGCGCTTTTCAAACCATGGCAGTTTGGCAGTGTGACCCCGTCTCTTCACATCAGGAGTGTTAACTTTGTTTGTAGACTCGAAGGCCTCTCTAACCGGGGAAGGAAGGTTTCTGGTTATAATTCAGTCCCTTCTGTGCTCAATCGCGGTAATGATAGCACATAAACGGACGCTAAAAGTGCTTTCAGACGTACAACCGAGCTCAGACTTAGTGTTCTGGATAAATAAGGCCATGATTTCTCCAATAATTTTAAAGAAACGAAGATTCAGTACATCATAGAGAAACAAGTCCCTACAACATTATTCAAGTTCCGGCAAGCGATAATTTCTGCTAACCAATGTACACTGTCATATACATTTCAGAACAAAGACCAACAAACTCGATTCAAAAGTAACTGCAAACATACCAGCCAAGATCCACATAGACATTTACAAACACAATGTATCCCCAACCGGCCTTCTTTGAACAAAACACCGGTCTTAGCGTTAGATGATCTCCACGATAAAAGGTGAGATAAAACCCGTGTCGACCATGACGCCATCACATGACTGCTGTCTGCCTTATTCCATTAAACAAAGAGGTCTTATACACGAAGGGCTTGGTAAAGAGCATGGCTTCGTTCCCTCTAGACGACTGTCTAAGACTTCCAGTAAACAAGTCAATTTGGGTAGAGTTAACTCTTCATAACGGACGCGGCCCAGAAACAAAAAGACCCCGGCCTTTACCACTGAATTGGTCCCATCCTGGAGTTTGTTGCAACCGCCACGGAAATGTGAGAGATCCACCGCCTCTTGGCGTAACAATTCCAATTGCTGCAGCTCCGTACCTGACAATAAATAGAGGCATTTCTCCCCGATGCATCAACCATTCCTATGTCTGTCTATAATTTTTCTTTAAGTTCTTTTATAAAATAGTTAGACTTGTGATCTTTTAAAGTAAATCTGCGAGTGGCCGTCAGTGAAGATTAAAATGGGTGCCAATAGTTTTTATTGCAACAAAGATTGGGCTCTCATCATCCTAAAACTGGAAAGGCCATAGACTCCTTGCATTAGGAAATTACTGTCTAGGAGCAGCACTTTCCTTTAACGATTTTGCTTAATGCGGTTTCACATTGGGATTTTGTGCTCCAGCATCAGTTGTGTAATTTCTTGTTCGCTCTATCTTTCTTGGTAAAATCTGATCGATATCATTGATGTACAGTTCTTCAAAGAGAAGAGATGAACGAAGTCACAGGAATTCTTGCACAGAAGTTACTTTGCCAGCCAATCAAAGGTAACTTGAACTAAAGATGAAACAGCCTGTAAGTAGACTGTGAAGAGTATTGACGTTACTTTAAAATGGAGTACAAATGTGCTTGAGAAACTCACGTTACCTGAGCGTTTAATGTCGAAGCCATCTCTTCTTGTAGTTACAACCGCGCCGGCTTAGTTTAAAACAAGAGCTTTCTGGCAAGACCCGAGCTAAGGCCTGAGGGCAAATTTTACTGTTAATGCTTATTTTGATAAAAAAAAAAAAAGATAATAACACTAGGAACATTCACAGAAAAAAAGAGCAAAGTAGACATAATATTCCACCGAATAATTATGTTAACTAATGACTTCAGTGAGGCACCAACTACTCATAGACTGCTGCATATGAGGAATGGCTCAGAGATATCTTTTCCTTTTGTGTGAAAACATTCATTCTACAATTAATACTAATCTGAGAATGTATATTCTAACACTAGCACGTTTTGCTCGACAGAGCGAAAGGGTCTTAAGAAAACCGTCAGACATTCCATCAATTCTTAAGCGAGAGAATAATCAACATGCATCAGAAGTTGTTGGCTTCTGCTTTCATAATCCAAGCCTTTTCCTTTCACGGAATGCTCAAATGGCAAAGACTGCCGATGAATTACAATATTATACAAACAAGAATATCTCTAGACATAATTTCACGCCTTCGAGGTGTTATCTATGAAGCTCTGTCGGTAAACCACAAGCTTGATAAATGAACATAATCTGTATTTGTTGCACTAAGAAATTCAACCCCGTTTCAGCCTGTTGTGAGTTTTCTTTGTGAGTCTCATGCTCAATTGATTCTTTCCCTCCCCGTTGCTTTAAGTTGGGTTAAAAATCCCAGAACTGAGGTGATATTAACAAGGGTCCTTAAAATTAGTTAAGTTGAGCTAAGTAGTAAGTATTTGCTCGAGGAAAGACATCTACTTAGTCGATACAAAAAGTCAACACTTCACGAGCGAGTCAATTCCCACACGGTCTTTCAATTATTTGTGAAGTGAGCTCGCCTCAATCGTATCCTCTTCGTCAATTCAGCGACCTCGTATGTGCACTCAGTAAGGAGTATATATAGAACCACGGGAAGACTCGAGCGTGTGAAAAATTACACACAGGAAGTGGGCGTGATGGAGATAAGAGGGTCTAGGGGTGTGGGACACAAACAGCCACTGAGCTCTGCTTTTAATTCTATGTTTACGAAGTCAAGGAACAATCTCTTGGATTGTTCATTTTTCATTTATGGTGGTCTCATTTTCCTCAGCAAACCACGTTATTTGAATAGATAATGTTGTTATTGGGTTGTGTGACAATAAGACCCTTGTCACAAAAGGATAATAACGCCGCCATACTGTAGAGTGTATTTATGTTGATGCTACATGTTTTGTCCCGCAAAGTTACAGATCAAGTACGTTTTCTCTCTATTTCTAAATTCGTTTTCTCCACAAGAGTTACACCAAAACCTTCCCATACACTACAAGAAGCTAACCTGCAATACCTGTTTAATCAAGTTTTCGAAAGGCTTCGCTAGACTACACGGAAATTGTCGACTTTCCCTAAGGGTTCGCTAAGTATTTTTTTTGTGTTTACATGTCCATTGTAAACAAAATTGCTTATTCTACCCTCTTCATGAAAGTTTTAAACTTAAGATCCGACCTGTAAAACAGAGTTTGAATATTAGGTAACTCAGACGTCGCCAAGCTTTGGCAATTCTTTCTTGGCTGCGATCGTGTTCCTGTCATCAGATGCAAACGGTAGTTTATTTTTATACGCGCTGCGATTGTCTCACCGAACCTTAAAATTAGAAAGACTCACAATGTCCTTAGTCTACAGAGGTAATTTATTCGTCTTTCGATCCAAATCAGCTGTCAAATTGATTGGCAGTTTCTCAAGGGTCTCGTCACTTTGATCCAATGAAAGGGAAGAAGAATGGATAGGCTTGGAGAAGGACAAAAGGAAAGGCGGGCCACATTCGAACATGTGTCACATCACTCACGGCTTCTAACAGCGTTGCGAGGGAGACTTTCGTGGACCAATCACAGAAGCCCACAGCTCACAATCAATCAAGAGCATAGGTGCCAGTTCCAAATGGCGCCAAATTACCACCCATCACGAACCAATCCGAATATAATATCCACGTGTCGGCATTCGTTAGTCTATCTCTTGTTTAGTTGTAGTTGTAGGAAAAATGGAGGCGGATAGTCCACAGACCTCTGGTGCCTCCAAAGTCGACCTCCCGAACGATCCTGGGTAAGTTGCTCGCTTCCGCCAGCCGAATTTCTGCCAGCCGGCTTCGTGTTTTATTAGCACGAAATGATGGTGTGACTTAGCTGGTAGCAAATTTTGTTGTAAGCATAAATTTCTTATGTCGTCCGTTCTTCTCCTCTCCAACAGGAAGATGTTCGTCGGAGGCCTGAGTTGGGAAACAACGGCAGGTTGGGAATTTTGTTGATCCTTGTATAAGTTTGGATATTGTTGCAGTCGTAAATCGTTTTCTTCCGCAATAAAAGGGCCGTGGAGTTGGTTTTCCTACGCCGACAAAATGAGCTGAGATGAGTCACGTTTGGAACAATCGGTTGTGGTTAAGTTCACGGTTCCGTAACGGTCCGTTTTTGTCGTCTGTTTCAGAGGGTCTGCAGGAATACTTTAGCAAGTTTGGAGATCTAAAGGAGTGCTTAGTGATGAGGGATCCTAACACAAAACAATCGAGGTAAAAGCCAGAGGCTGGTGTAGGAAACACCGACCTTGCTTCCACCTTAGACACCGTTGCGCGATGAGCTTTGTATTGTAAATGGCATGTCTGAAGAATATGCAATATGCAACATAATGATGGTGGCTTAAATTCTGTTTTTGTATCCATATTCCAGGGGGTTTGGGTTTGTTACTTTTGAGGATCCAACCGCTGTAGATGCGGTGTTGAAAGCATGCCCACACGAACTTGACCACAAGAAGGTTTGTACGGAAAATCTTGTGATTATTTTTTTGCGCGCGCCATAGAGATGGATTCGTTCAAGACTAATTTTCACGCTCCATCTGCAAACGTCTGGCGTGTCCGTATTTTAATACGATCAAGGTACCTAAAGCTTGAAATAAACTCTTTCAATGAATTAAACTTCCAACGCTTACTTGCAAAGTTTTTATTTTCAATTTGCCGTATTTTAGCCGAAAAGGGGGTGCATTTTCGCTTTAAGTGATGTTCGTGCCTGGGGAAATTAAATTCACACGACGAAGCCATTGTAATGTTAAGATGTACTCTGAGCTTCAACTTTAGCGAGCTTAACCACATCTACGCTAACACCTTGTACATATGTTTAACGCTAATGCAGATCGATCCGAAAGTCGCTGTGCCCAAAAGACCTCAACCGAAGGTAAGACTTGTTACTGTTAAGTGCGTTAAATTTAGCGTGGAAGGGTGTTTAAATATCGTGTGATGCATATAGCTCGATCAAAAGATCAGGACTTCGAATTGTTTGCTTGACAACAGCACGGCAGTGGCTTTCCATTTATACTTGTGAATTTTTTTTATCAAACTGTCCTTCTAAGAATTGTAATTCTTCATGGTTTCATGCTGTTAAGCTAGTATTTTGAGCGTAATTTGCAAAGCGTTAGTCTTTTCAAGGCCGCCCTAAACGGAAATATAACGTTCGGAAGCCAGCTTGTAAACGAGAAGGGCAGTTTCATTGGTCGCCAAACGCTTTAGTTCCGTGTTAAGATGCGAATCTGTTTCTCCAGTTTTGTATCAGGATAACGGATCGGACCCCATCTTAAGTGAAAATGCCATTCTAAATTGTTTGTATCGTCAGTACGCCCACTCCAAAATAAATTGAGCGAGTGAGTGCAAGGGCCCGAAGAAGCCGCTCACCTCCTACGGCGGGCAGAGCGGTCGAGAGCCGAGTTTATATTCTAACAAACACGCGATATTTTGGGGGTTTTCCCGAGCCATTACTTTGCCGCAGCGACTCGTTGTGTGTTACAGACTATATCTTTTTTCTAGTTTGTTTTCTGTAAAATTGAATAATTACAGGTTCTCAAAGTCCATTTCAATAAAGACAACAAAGGAAGCTACTAGTAGAGCAGTGATTCGGTTTGCGTACCGTGTTTTGCCACCCTTTCCAAGTAGATCAGTTGAGCGACACTTCAGGTGAATAGTGCAGGTTCAGTCGCACATGTTTTATTGCGTTTAACAGAGTAGTTTAGCATGTCAACTTGGAGAGGACCGGTTTTACAATTTATCCGATGTTAAACAAACATATTTTCGTGAGAGTGCGGCTACCCGAGACTTTGTTATTCGCCAGTGTTTGTGTCGGGTTCAACGCAAGTCAGACTTAGGTGCGGAGCCACAAAAGGAGCTTATAAATTATTGCTTGCTACATACACGCTTGAGCTGCCATGTCTTCAGCACCTTGAACGCAGGTACAAGATGGTAATTCTAAAGAAAATACTTCCCCGACAAGCGTTGCCACCCGAACGTCCATGAATCGATGTCGTCGGCTATTTATTCTTTTCAGACAAAAAAAAATGCGAAATTGTCTCAAATAGTTGTTTTGTTTTACGTTACGGACGCAGTGCAATTCAGGTTTCATTTTAATATCGTAAGTTTAAATAATATTGCTCTCGCATCCGCTCATTAGTCATTTTGTGACTCCCAGAACGGTGGTGTCACACAAGCCTAGTAAATCGACGCGCATCCTTGACGACAACACTACCACCAATTTATCTCAATTTCTTCTGAAGAATACCTTCTTCAAGACACAAATTTGGCCATTGAATGCTTTTCTCGTGTCTCTGAAAGTCCTTCACACCTATTTGATGCGAAAGTAAATACATTTAAATTATTGCTTCCTGAGAGACCTATTCAAAACTTCCTGCTTGTGAAAGATACAATGTAGGCATCGAGTAAAGTTCGATTTGGGAAGCGGATAAACGTTCTCTTGTATGTTGTGTGACTTGATAAAATCCATTAACAAGTGGATCCCTGCCTATCTTCCCCCCAAAATGCTTTTTATCGGTGTGTTAAGCAAGTTGTGTGATGAATATTCAAAGTAGTGTTATGGAGGTGCATGGTTTAATCCCAACTCTAATTGCTCAAGTTTTTATGAGCTCTTCTTGAAATACCGTTTCACATGACAATTTTTGGATCATTTGATTTCCATAAATACAGCGTTTTTCCTTTCTTGCTCTTATCATAATTAGCGAACCTTAAATAAACAGATGATGCAATATGTATTGAACCATCTTTAACTGCTCTGTGCAGACCACTGTTCTACACCAATTGTCCAGTTCTTTAACTCTGCTTTTCACCTAAATAAATGATTTGTGAATAGCTGCTAAAACAAACTGAGTCAGAGGAAAGTGTTTCACCTTAAGGAGACACAAGATTGTAATTTGAGTTTTATTCCACCAAAGCTTATTCAGTAATAAGCTTGCTCAGACTGTAAGTGGTTCCCTTTTAATAGCCAAACAAAGGCATAACAGTAAAATACAACAGTATAAAGTAGCATAGCACCAATTTTGTGGATTTGATAAGTACAAGTGCATTTGGCTTGCCTGCTGTGGAGCATAGCCTTGAGCTAATTTATATGCAGATACAAGAGAACAGATCATCTCTATAAAAAGCTAGATGCATATCACATTGTTTCAACATCTTGAATTTCAATAATTCTCTGAAATCACACCACTGTCTGATTGACATTGTGTACAGTAAACACCAAACACAAGGAAAGTATAGGATTGCACTATCTTTGTGAAATTTATTTTCTATGAGTCATATAATATGCTACTTTTGATACCACTCCTTTTTTCATTTCAGATTATTTAATATTCACAATGATGTCATTATTATATATGTACCTTGTTTTTCTATTTGAATTCTATTCCAAAGAAAAACAAGCCTCATCTAGCTGAACTTTGACCCTCGGGTAGAAGGAATTTATAACAACCTATTGTTGCGTTGAAATATTAGCTAAGCTATTTATTTCAAAAGCAAGATTTGCTAATGACAATGAGCAAATCAGTTATGTACTGAATGGGGATATATGCTGTTGATGTCTGGAGAACATTTCTAAGCTAGAAAGTAAAACAAGTGTATTTTCTCTTTTTGAAATGTTTTCTTCCTTTGATAAGCTCTCTAGTAGACTTATTACTATTTTCACTACAAACCTGCTTTACAAACAGGAAATAATTGATAAGATATGACCTGGTTTTGAATTGGCCTTTCAGTAACACTAATAGTCTAACAAACAATATCATGAAAAAATCAACTTCTGTGCACATGCTCACAAAATTTCTCTTCTTCCTCAGTTCCCTTTTCCACACATTGTCATCGTTTCACAAAAAAAATGTAAAGCCATTTGTCTCATTAGAAAACAAAGTGATATTCAAGAAGTAATGAAGAGAGCCAGTGTTGAAACCTCTACACTATCTAGATCATGTATTTTGGTTAGTGAAGTCTAGCATTTATTGATAAAATCAATTAGCATATTGTTTGATAGTCCAGCTGTATATCACCCCGACTGTGGATAGTTCATAATCAGAAAATAGCCAGCACATAATTGACCAATGAACAGCTGATACTTGACAGCAAGCTGACCAATATCTCTAGCCAGTAGACATCTCAACTAAGACATTGGTGCCCATTGGTCCACTGTCAGTTGACTACCTGACATATTGATTATAACTGAATGTTATATCAACCAATATGCTGACCAGGCTGTGTTCAACTTTTTCCAACACAGCTTTAATTACAATTGTCCCATTTTTATTGATGGGTAACAAATACAAAATTTTTAGTTTGCAAAGCAAAAATCTATCACCACCAAATACTAATTTTCAGACACCAATTTCTGACTTATGAATCTAAGATTGTCAACATATTACTAGCCTAACATATCATCAAGTCTCTGTAGTTCAGGTAGAGCATTGAAGCGTGAAATCCAAAGGTTTGTAGAGTATAGATTCCACATGAGAACTCATAACTTTTTCTTTGGTTCACACTCGTGTCAAGATGAAAAAAAAACAACTTACTTTGTGCATTTTTTTAATTTGTTAACCCACTAGGGGGGGGGGGGGAGAAACAGATTTAAGTGGCTTGAGAACTACTCCCACTCTAGCTGGCAGTAGCTTTGTATGTACAAGCAAAGCTGAATTATTTCAGAAAATAACCTTTACTTGCCATTCTATTCAGGGGCAATTTTTAAGTTATCAAATGATGAACTTTACATAAAAATGCAAGAAATCATACCTTCGATTAAGCCTTTTTCAGCACATGTCACATACTCCATGTTATTTGTTCAGTTTTTCATTTTATGGGAGAGAACCAGCCACAAGAATTCAATTCAGAATAAACTTCTGCGACACAGTTGCTGGTAGTAACAACTTGTCTGACTGCATGCTCCAACCTTTCCAAGACTGAAAAATGTAATTTGTGGTAAATATGGTTAGTCAGTTAGAGTGATCTGAAAAGGATGCTGATGTGTATGAGTCACATTAAACTAAAAGATACAGTTGCCATGCAGTTGTAAGTTTAAAGTTAATTAACTAATACTAAGGTAAACACAGCAAGTACAGCAAGCACAGCAAATGATAACTAGAACTAGCATTGAGGCAAAAGCTGGAGAGGGGAGGTTATCATAATTAATTTTGTAAGCAAAATAATGAATAAAGGAAGTCATAGCAAAGTTATGAAAAAAGGATCTTTGGTGGTTTGAATCCAATATTTGAGGGCAAAAGTACATATTTTTTCCTTACTATCTGTATGACCTATGAGTTGACAGGTGATCTGTGACTGCCACCACATAATGTTGTTGAAAGCAGGAATTTCAATGAAAAGTTTAACAAAATACTGCTACATAACACTACTTCTCTAGTCACTAAATTGTGTTACTAGTCTATTTAGTAAGTTGTTGCCACATCTTGCCTAGAGCAGTTATTATGATATTTCTGATTTTCAGCTGGTGACAAAAACAAAGAAGATATTTGTAGGTGGTGTGTCTGCTTCTACCACTGAAGAAGACTTGACTAATTTTTTTAAACAATATGGAGAGGTGAGTTGCATATCAATCTCTAGTTTACCATTAAGCACTTACTTTTAATTTTGTTTCAAATCAATTTACATTGTAATGGGAACCATAGTTGAAAAAAGATTTTAGAAAAATTCTCAAGATTTTGAGAATTTTTCAACACCTTTTTTCTTATTAAAACAACGAATTTGATAACTTCCTTCAATTTCTTGTACAATGGCACCATGACAATTGCCAGGTCTACTGAAGAAAAATGTGTTTGATATTCTTTGTGATGTGAACATTACTATTTTCTGTTATCCTCTACAATTGTCTGTCCTTGGTGACACTTTGGGGAAAATTGTATGAGAATAAGTATCTTTGACTTGGGATTCTGCAATCATATATGACTTGTGATATTAACAGGCTTTAGAGAAAATAGAAGTTTTGTATTGTGCATGTACATTTTGTCTGGTCTTGGAAAACTTAAAGAAAGCAGCCTAACACACAAGGAGTTAGAAGAAAACAATTCGGGATAAAATGCTAAAAAGGTTAAAGTAATTGAAAAAACTCACATTGCACAACAACACATGGGCTCATATGTTTATCCCTAAAATTATTGTGCACCCTTGATAAACCAATGGTATTTCCATCACATCTTAGTTTCCTAGATGGCTGCTTTTTATTTGCCTTTCTTTTGGTTTCCCTTTTCATGCTTATTAATAGCATGAACATATTTTTCAGTAGTAGACAGGGACTTGAACAAAGCATGAGAGCGACAACAAAGGGACACAATATTGTCCATGGCCATATCTTCTCATATGTTTGGCAAGTGCGACAACAAAGGGACACAATATTGTCTATGGCCATATCTTCTCATATGTTTGGCTTATGTAGAGTGTTAACTAACCTATAAGACACAAAAATCTCAACACTCTGTGCCAAAATTATTAGTAACTTACAGTTATCTCCTTTTAATCTCTAGGTAGCAGAATCCAAGCTTATGTTTGATAAAGTCACACACAGACATAGAGGTAACTTCAATCAATCTTTATTGTCAGAAAATCTAAAAAAGGAAATTCCAGTGAAATATGCCCTCTTTTATGACCATTAGTGTGTACATTTACTATTAATTAATACCATTATCAACACCACACAAAGAAGTGAGCAGGATTTGCAAGTTATCAAAAAGATCTGCATTTCACAATATCTGTTTCAAATCAAACCAATACAAAAGTAAGGGAAATAAAACTGGTTGCTATAAATAACAGGTTGGAAATGCTAGCTACTTTTATTACCTTTAGATTTTCTTTTCCATCCTGGAGGGTGCAGTTTATTTAAAAGTCAATATAAGACAACATTAGAAACTATTTATTGTTTTCCAAATATGCTCTAATCCATCCAGTCTATCCAAATATTTGAATATGCCCACATCACTCTAATATTTCCAAGTAAAAAAAATTTTAGGTCAGGAAATTTCTGAAAATGGTGTTTTTAATGTGATCATTTATACATAATTCACTTCAACTTATACCAATTTTTAAGTACAATTTCCTCACAGCAGAATTGTGGGAAAAAAAAACAAACACTCTTAATTAATCACACAAGAGCATACTGTCCAAATTTTCTCCCTTGCATCAACCATAAAATAAACCTGTGCTTGCCAGACCCATGGTTCACAAAGCCTGGTTAAAATCAGACCAATCCAAAAATAACAGATTGTGAAGTTGCCTGCTTAAAATAACTTCAAGAATACTGATTTCTTCAAGTCAAGTTCAGACTTCCTTCTTTTTTCTTCTTGCGCCAAGCAATCCATTTTAAAGTAAAGAATAATAACATTAGGAATAATTACTGTTTTCTTCATAGCATCTAATCCGTCGAATCAGTCCAAATATTTGACCGCACCCACTCTTCTCTGACTTTCCCAAGGTCAAATTTGTAGTAAGGAAATATTTAAAAAATGTAATTTGTGATTTTGTGATCATTTATTCTTTCCATAGTCAAACCTGGTCTCAATTGTTTAGAAACTTCTTCCTCACAGCAGAAGGAAATTAGCACACACCCTGAATGAGGCACACCTCAGCATACAACTCATATTATTCCTCTCACATCTAACATTTAACTAACCTGCATTCACCAGATGCCTTTATTAAGCACATGTCCACTCCAAAATTAGGATCAAGCTTTAGTTACATGAAAAATGCACTATACAGACAGCTTAGTGAAAGATTTGAGTACTGCGGTTTCATCTGGTTACAGTTTAAGATTTCATTTTGTTGTTTTTTAAACATTCCATCTGGTAATTCATTTTGTTGGTCAAAAATGGCCAGACTCAGAAGGATAATAAATACTCTTTCTGATGAAGGGTCGATGCTCGAAATGTCTGCTTTTAAACTCTTTATGGTGGCCAATTTACATCAACTTAGTTGATAATACAAAATTACCCTGTTAAACTTCCCCACCAACACAGTACCACAGTTTCTTTAGAAGCCTACCCCCTTTTAGTAATTAATAACTACATTTAAACCCTGACTATGCAGACTTGTGGGGAATAGTCTGAAAAGTCAGCATAATCCAGAGTCAGGATAGTCAAAATATGAAAATTAATGAGCCACAAAGTAAAACTTGATACATCTTACCTAATTAATATTACCTAAGTATTAAAGTACATTCTTCATTGCCAAATTATGCCAAGGCATCCACAAAAACTTTTAAAAACGTTTTACTACCTAAAATACTACCGTAAATTAGTGTGTTCCAAGCTGCTACAGTGCATGTGCCAATTTTATCATTCTTTAAAGCTGCATTAATGGCATAGCATCCACATTATCTCAGAGCATCATTCTGCTTTGTTTGATGGATAAAAGTTGTTGTGAATCTCAAATGTGACAAATTAATATTCATGAAAAAATGAGATCAGAGAAGTGAGTTTGGATAATCAAAAATTTGTATAATCCAAGTTGGGTTCTGTAATGAGACAGTAGACCAAATATTAATCACATACCCTACAAAATATGGACACTGGATAACAATTTGTGGTTCTAAAAATGTCCACAGGAGAATGTCCATGTGTAACCTCCCCCCACTGCTCCAGCCTTTCTTGTTTAAGAAGAGCAAAATTGCCTTCCACCAAATCCCTGAGTTTCCAAACAATTTTCAACTCCATTCAAACTGAAAAATTTGTTTATAAGATAGTTATCAGTCCATCATTAGTTGGCTTTTGTCTATATCATACAGCTAAGATTTAAACCCTAAATTTGAGAGTAAAGCTTTTGCAGTTCTTTTCATGTTCACATTGCAATGAGAATGTTTTATTATTGACATTTTTAAGGATTTGGTTTTGTAACATTTGAAACTGAAGATGCAGCTGAGAGTGCTTGTGAGGAACAGTTCCACCTGATCAATGACAAGAAGGTATTCTAAGCTGCTAATACATGTATTTGCTGATAGATAGTTACCCATAAATTGTACACTCTCAAAATGATCCCTCTAGATAGACATTTTCATAAACATTCAATTGACAAACTGGTGAGCTTTTTTTTTCTCCAGTCTGATTACATTTCAGGAGGTACAACTACATACCACTACCGCAGTGACATACAGTATGCAAATATCTCACAGTAATAAATATGGGCAGGAGTTATCAAGTGGCAAATATTCTTTGTGTTCAAATCTCCTATGAATATATAAACCAAAGAAAAAATCTCTCACAATATTTTTCCTTTAAGAATGGGATGTTAAGTAAACACAAGATGATCTCTGCTCAGCTTCCTCTCAATGCATTGTTTTGTTTGGTTTTTCTGTTTGTTTCACTTTTTGCTGTTTTTTGTGGAAACAGATTGTCCCTGCAGTAAAGTTTCTATGCCCTCAAACAACTAGCATGTTTCTTAAGTTTTATCCCCTTATTGGTGATGCCAATTTTCACTATTTACTAGTGATGAATAAAAACTGTAGCAAGTGAGAATGATACAATGGAGATGATAATCTGTATTCCAGTCCTTTATAATTAATCCACATGGTGCACTTCATTTTGCAGACTGAAGTTAAGAAAGCACAACCTCGAGAAGTGATGCAAAGTTTGCAAGGTGGGCGTGGTAGGGCTGGTAGGGCCTTGGCTGGACGAGGGTTCTGTAAGTACAGAACTTCTTTGTTATTTGGCCACATAACTAACATTTCATGCAATCTCCTGGAAACTGTAAATGTATGATCATGTGGTAGAGTTACGGTCACATGTGACAGAGTTACAGTCTCACTGCTGCACCACAGTAAGGTTTACCAGCACAGTTGTTGACATTCATGGCATTAAAATTTGTTATGTCCACCTATACTTCACATGAACTTTTGTAATACCCCGGAAATTTCTTTTTATGTCACCTCTGAATCATGCATTATGGTCACAAGAACAAAGGAAATGATCACCAACTGAAGAAGCTCTTTATTGTTAACCAGATTTTCTGTGTTAGCACCTTGGGAAATGTATAGACAAAAATATGGAGAATATGCATATTAATGTTGGGGCATAGAGGGTCAACAAATCAGCTTGAGAGTTCTCATCACTCAAACTACACTCAAAAGTTCTAACACTACTTCCACTTTGCTCTTAGTGTATCCTTTCCCTCCTGGGTTTCGAGGCTTTCCTCCATCAGGCTTTGGCCCTGGTTTTGGTAACTTTGGTGGCCCATTTCAAGGTAAAAAAATATTTTAAATTAGCTATGACCTAAGTTCAAGCCAAAGAGATTTAGGGATGGAGTGAAACTGCAGCAGGGAACCAAAATAAAATTCTAGACGACTTTGGCATGTTGTTCCAATCACCAGGAAGTACTATTAGTTGATGAGGAAAAAAGATCCACAAGTATGCCAGAAGGAAGCCTCTCACACACAGAGGGGTTAGAAGTTGAACAGTGGATTATATTTAACTTCCGCCTCTCGTGTTATGTACTTTGTAATTCACCCTTAGTCAGTCCATAAACTTCACCTCCCACACTGTTACATGTTTTCTATTCAAGACATATAGAAACCAGGCAATTGTTTCCCTGCTTAAATACTATGTTAAGAAACTTATCCAAATGTTGTCACAATTGCACCAACTAGGAAATCAGTCAAAGATTGGAAATGGTCAAAATAAGACTGATGGACGACACAATCATTGGCTTGTGCTTACAGTCATGGTTACTTTTCTAGAGCTACACAATATACTGTGAAACTATTCATTTGCTATGGTTCCATCTGAATTTCTTCCCCTTTTGATTGCATGTAGGCGGGTACAGTCCTGCTGCAGCATTTGCAGCATTTGCAGCACAGAACAGGCCAGTAAGAGGCAAAGGACGTGGTTACTTGGGAAACTATCCAGGAATGCTTGGTAAGAGAAGCTAACTACACTGTGATCTCTATTATTTTGGGAAAGGCAAGATCGAGTTATGCCCAAATACATACTATATCAAGCACACAAAAACAATTTGGTGATTATTAGTTGATCCAATACAGAATTCTCCAATCCAACATCATAAGAATGATATGGCAAACAGCAAGAAGAATTATTAAGGGTTCACAACGCTGACATTCAGAGAATTATTTCAAAACAAAGGACAAGCTTGCACATTGTGCGTTCATGTAGAATATGATGGCTTTCTTTGTTTAGAAAAACCTGAATCAGTGTATCAACTAATGTTTTGAAACAAAGAAGTGACACAAGTGAAGCAGTCACTGTGGCTTACTGAAAGTCTTTGAAATCATGATTACCAGTATTTCTTCTTAACTCTTTGCATCTCTGCGAGATCCATCAATCTGCACTGTTACTTTTACCACAACTTTTATTATTGTGACATGTTTGAAGTCCAAAATCAGGTTATTGAAAGATATGACCCCTTTCATTTGATGGAAAATTACACCCTTTGCAATCTGGATTATATTTTTCTTCATACATACATACAATTTAAAGCCTAAGAAGAAATGTGCAAAATATATTATGAGGGTCAAATTATCTTGAAACATGGTTTAAAGTTGCCTCATATTCCACAAGGGGTGTGCTTTCACCACTTAGACTTGAGCTTCCATCTCATCACTTATTTTTGGTTCTGTGTTTCAAATAACTTTATGCCTGGCATGTGTATCCCTTTACTAAAGCTGTGGCAAGTTTTTGCAGCTCTTCTTAAATACTGGTAATTATGAAACTTTTTTAGGTTTTACTGGCTATCCTTCTGGCTTCATGAATCCCCCTGACCAACGACGAACAGCAGGAGGTCAGTATTATGCAGACTATGCCACCATAAGTAATCAGGGAGGCCGTTCAGGACCTAACAGACCACCTGACATCCCACAAGTTAACCCAGCCATGCCGGAATATACTGACTATCAGGGTACGGTAATATGTCTGCTTTTGTCATGTATACCAGTCATTTCCCAGTGTGTTTAAATTCTTTCCATGGTATACCCCTGTGTCAAAATTTTTGAAATTGGCCAGCAATTGAATAAGGAAAAGAGGAGGGGGGCAGCAGTCAATGGGAGAGAGGAAAACAAGGGTTGTTCTACTCTGTAAAGGTAAACACACCAAAGAGGGAAGGTTTTGGTTGAGGCATCTCATTTTTTCTGTCTGTGGTGAGCTGTAAAGAGAGGTACCATCTTACCCTGCACATCATGTCCCTCAATTTTCTTGCTTGCTTTCTTTCCTCTCATCCTTATCCTTGCATTTCTATCAAGGGAGAAAGATTGATGCAGGGGTGGGAGTGCTTGTCTCCCTCTCCTTAGGCCTGGGTTTAATTCCATGACTTGAAATTACATTTAGCTAAGTTTGCTGTTTTTTTCATCCTGGTTTTAAAAGTTTTAACTGGGGTTAAAGCAACTTATTTCATATCACTCACTTTATGAATCACACCTGAAATGAAATAAGTATTGTATATCAGCCTTCCTTGGCTTTAGCCAAGGTAGAGGTTGTCAAACATTTGACCATTGGCTTTGTTGCATCGTATACATCACTTACATTCGACAAAGTATGTTTGATATCTGCACAATGGGGAACTTGTGGCTTTTTCCCTTGTCCTGAAAAGGATAGGACATCAAATGATTAACGCAAAACATAAATTAAGCACATGAATAACTAACATACATCCATCAGTATAATCTTCACTTATTTGTAGAAATTTGTTATTGCTTTATCCTTTTAGAACCATAAACAACAGATTTCCCCCAGCTAAAATTGGCAATTAATTATCCAAATGCACAATCTTTTTGGTGAACATTAAAGTCCTACAAATTTACAGCATTAAGTTTGTGATGAATTTTTACAGGCATGAATTACCATCATACCCAACAATTTGGTCCACCACCACCCTCTCCAGTATCCAGGGCATTTGCCACAGCTGCAACCAGTCCAGGACCTGTTCAGGATCTCGGCAGCTACATCAACTCTGCTGCAAATACTTCAGCAGATGGTTTGGGGTACACAGCCACCAGTCCTCAGCCTACAGGCTTTGGTCATGCCATGGCGGTAAGTCACCTGAAAACAATGATAATGATTTTATTTCCCTTACTGACAGGTTCATTTATGGTTAAGCTACAGAGTTTATTTCATTATGTTTCAAATGAATTTGGTAGAATTTCTAGAACAGTTTAACATCAACAATGTAAATACACATTACAACTCTAGAAAAGTTAGTGTAAACTTAGCTGTACTCAGTGGTAACTAATTGGACAGTTTGTATCATATCATAATTAAACAAACTTTGAACAGTTCAAAATGTTATTTCCTCGGATAAGCACCAACACACCAATAAGTGCCCTTTCCCTTGGGCATAATGTCAAACAAGCCCCCCCCCTCCCCCCCTCACTTTCTAAATAGTAGGGATATAGGGAAAACCCATTTCTATTGCCACTTCAGTTACAACTTTTTAACCTTCAACAGCAACTGAATCAGTACAGGTGAATAGTTTTATAATAAAAAGGCACATTTTAAAATTACCTTAAAAGCTAAATGTCTTCTCACCTCCTTAAACTAGTAGCCAAGTTTATCACACAAATCTAAAATATCATTATAATTATAGATTGATGTGTTAAATTTAGGGGTAAAACTTACAGAAAATGACCAAATTTAACTTCAAATGATAAAAAACTACAATAAACAAACTGACAACCAACATGAAAACAAAGAGAACAGAAATTAGTCCCAATCATAAATTATGCAATCAAATTGATTAATTAACATTCCAATTTATTTTGACAGTTCTGAAGGAGGAGAGCATCATTGTAAGTACTTATTAATATCTAAGGATTAAGCCTTGGTATTCAGTTTTTTACACAGATGCTAGGTTTTGGTTGTTAAGTCTTAGAAACTAAGTGCTGCGTTAAATACTTAACCAAAATGTTATGCTATCATCAACTATTTTAGTGAGTGTCCTTTAACAAGTTTAATACCAATTTAAAATGTAAAATGCTAAATTTTGTTCCAATTTCATAACCTATTTCTGTTTTCATTCAGTCCATACAAACACACTTAACAACAAGGCAAATGTAGCAGATTTTTATGGCACTATGTAACAATATCTTGAATTGGTATATACCACACAAGTGAATAGTGCTTTTCATGCAAGCTGAATGGCTAATTTAGAAGTGAATAGCAAGTACTATTCACCTCTCAGCAGCTGATGAGACAAACTCTTAAAGTCATGAGTTGAATTTCTCTCCATTTTTCGGTATATTGAAAGAAATAAACGAATGTTTTGGTATCTGTCTGGTATATACCGTATTTCTTCACCTATAAGCCGAGTGATTTTTCAGTAGTTGACACAAAAGTTTGGGATATTTCTCACAAGAAACAGGGTTCGGCTTGATAATAGCCGAGGGTTTGGGATTCAAAAGCAAGTACAAGTAGCTTCTGCGACAACTTTTATCTTGAAAGCCATTGTATATGAAGAGCGGCGTGCTTTTGGCATGATGAGAAAAATAACAGCAACGAAAGAGATACTCGATTGAAACGTTTGTTAGGTTACAGTAACTGAGAGTATTGTTGTGTTTCTGAAGTCGCTTAGTAGTATTTATATCTTCATTGATTCGCCTTTTTCTTTTCTGTTTATTTTAATTCATTAGCTTTTGTGTTCAGTGAGCCATTTCCCATTGTTTCCATGAGGTTCGCTCACTCAAATGGTTGGTTACAGTCTAGAATTTCGCTCTAGGCTTATAGTCGATGGTTTTGCTTTCTTTTTCGGACAGCACAGTCTGTTGGAAGGTCTGTAACTTTTAGGGTGAAGAAATACGGTACTAAAACAATTATTCACCTCAATGTCGGTGAAAGTGGTGAATACGTACCATCTTTGATGAATAATTGTCAAATATCTTTTTCTTTCCTTAGTCACCTCCCATATTTGATTAATGGTTTACCTTCGCCATAAAAGTGTCTAAGCAAAAGAATTTAACTTACTGCAGGATAATAGGATTTTTAATTCATAATTTTAAACAAAGATAAGACAACTTTAAGTTAGAGCAATAAATAACGTACGCTGGGAACCTGAATTTAATCAAACATACCATACTTAAACTCGAAAAAGAAATTGAATCATCAGATACCAGAAAAGTAGGGAGAAATAAAGGTTCTCGAAAACAAATCTTCGCCAAAAAACTGACTCTAAACTTAAACTCAGTAAAATCTTCACCTCTCATAACAATGAAAGCTAACCTAGCTGCTCTCCAAGATGTAGCTTGACAGGACCTCACCCTACCTGAAATTTTAAATCCGTCACGAGGGGAATTTAACTATCGTTAATAAGCTTCAAAATGCGCGCGGTAATTCAACTTATACATTTGTAAATACATTCCCGCCGAAGCTGTCATGAATAATTAAAAAACTACATTTTCAAGTTTACCTTACACTTTCCTTTTTTCCTAGATTTCCGTTGGCCACTAAAGAATCATCGGTAAGTACGAATTGATCGCCTGTAGACCCATGCGTTCGCTCTTAAACGTGTGAGATTCTAGAATTCAATGCGAATTCATTATTTATTGACAGAGATCTGGGGCGAGCATTCCTCTTGTCCCAAGTCCAACGCTTACAAAGTTCCTGAATTTTATTTTTGTCGTCAACAATCTTCTTTTCTTTTCTTTCTTTCCTTTCCTTCTCTCTTCTTTCTAATCTTTTTATTCCCCTCTAACTTCTTATTTTTTTCATCTCTTTCAAAGGCATGAGACGCTGATTGACTGAAGAACTTGCCAAGTTGTTTCAGGTCGAATTTTTGCTTTTGATGAATTTCGACTTTGGAGGTACAAAACCATGATACTGTCTCGATTACGAGACAATTAATCTCGATTTTATTATCCACCTAGTCAAAGGTGAAACATTTTTTGATGGTCAAAATGAAATTTAATGACTTCTGTTGTAGAGATATTTCTAGTTTACATATAACTTGATTTACATGACCATTTTAGTAACAAGGCAGGCTAGTCACATCTTTTGTTCATTGGTAGAAGTAGTTAGCAGTTATTTACAATGGCTCAGTGTGTGTAGATTTCTTTGCAGTGGATAGTTACAAAAACTACATATGATTATTCGGTGAAAAAGTCAACCCATCTCTCATTTAAAAGAGTTCAGAGGTTTGGCGACTCGGGGTCACGGTTTCATTCAAAGAAAGTATTTAAGTAGCACGGGTTGATTATCTTTTGTTGTAGTGATTTACTAGAATGAGAGAATTTTCCAGTTGTATGACATTTTGGTGGCGTATTGCGGTCGATTGGAAAACCCACGAGCCAAACAGGAAGTAAGAGGGAGGGGTTGGAAATGAAGATTTGGTTTTCGGGGCGAAGTTAAATCGTTTGAGAATGAAGAATGTTTTTTATCAGAAAGGGATTTAGGTTCATTTTGATTGGACTGCTTCAAAACAACTTACATACTGTTTAGACTCAAATGCGAAAATAAGAAACCAAAATTACAGAGCGCTCCGGTATTTTATTTCGCATCATCACAGCAATATATACTACACCTTCCATCGTGCACCAAGAGTCTGATACCTAAAGAATTCTTCTTTTTTTTTTTCTTGAAAAGACTCCGTATGTAGAGACGATGTCTAGATTTCCGTTTAGTACTACATTTGTGGGTAAATTCGAAAGAGAAACGATTATATTTAGAGTTAACGTAGAATGTGCGAGTCGACGCAGTGAAGATAGGTAAGCACGGTTCTGCAAAAGTAAGGTATGGAATAGTAAAGGTATATTTGGGTTTCAAGTTAAACTGCAGTGTATAGCGACATAGGACTAGAAAAAAATGAAGGGTTAGCTGTTCTCTCACGCCCCCCAGAGTATTTCATATTCTATGTATGTAAGGGACATCAAATGTCAATCTCGAATTCGTTTTATTTTCTCTTCTTTCGTGATCTGATTTGTGGTATGAAAACTATTTACTTTTTGGTTTGTCAGTTTCAAAAACTGGCCTTTTGTAAGGAGTAGATGAAGGCAAACGAGAGGTTTTGGTCGAGGTTCGATTCATTTTTCTATTTTTAACTTCTTTGGGGTCGTGAAAGACCTCCTAAGTTTTCCATCTTAAAAAAAAAACAAAGACGCATGAAATTTCCGCACGGTGAAAACTCGTCTGTTGATAGAAGGTGCTCGCTGATTTCCCCTAGAGAGAAAGAGATTGAAGAGGAATGCTAACGCTCTCCTAGATTTGTTCATTAATTAGTTACGCAGAGTATTGCACTAGAACCGGTTCCCTTGAGCTGATACGTTACTCCAATGGTCGATGTTAAGGCTAGTTTGTTTATATCACTGTTTAGTTTCTCCGTTGTTTGTTCTCTTTTTTCCAACATATAACTCACGCACAGAAGCTTGCCTTCATCTTCTCCTTGTTACTTTGAGAAAACTTAGACATCAGCATTTTGTGGCTGATTTTGTGAGGGAAATTCATTATCAATTGTGACGCCACTTTATAAGTGACGGCTGCAAGACTGAGAAAAAAGTAGTGCACAGATAGTGTTTTAGAAAGTTTCAAACAACGAATGAGTTAAGTTATTTAAGTTTTCTCAAAAGAAAATTAATAATAAATCCAAAGGTTTTATTCGTGAGCATGCACCGTGCACAGCCAAGAATGCGGAACGATTTAAAGGTTTTGCCACTCTAATAACTTATGAAATCTTACCCTGCGAGATTGAGGTCCTCTTGTCTTTCCTCTCGCCCACAAGAGGAACCCCTAAACGCATTGCCCCTGCGCGAGTTCGACACAACCATCTCTGGACCAGTCTCGAGCCCAGGGTCATTTCGGTCCCTTGTCAGCGGTATGGTCCATGCCGCTGAGAAGAAGCCGTGATGACCCTTGGCTCGCGAGATTGTTTCGGGACGAGAATGTGATACTTGATACGTCAATGTATCCCACTAACTTATCAGTAAGAGTCGATCGCTGTCTCACAGGGTAACCAAATATCAACGTGCTGTAGATATTTCAAAGTGGCCAAACTAGAGCGTGAAGTCAGCAGATAGTGCACTCGTCAGGTCCTGCTCATTTAAATTATTTGTACAATTTTTCATGTTTATCACAAGGAGATTATTTTCATTATGTTATCATTTACAATTTAAACCTCCCACGTTTATTTTCCAGTCGCATTTACCGGTAACAAAGAAGGATCCACTTGATCTTATCTCGTTGCCAAAAATGTTTTTTCGTACTCTGAACTTCAAGTGATAAAATGACTAGGACTTGGTAGGAATATTAGCTGGAGCCAACCGTTAGATGCCTGGCTGATAAACAATCAATTGATTCACCATTCAAAAGCGAAAATTGAAAGCGTACTCACAAAGAATTCGAGTACCATGTATTTATTCTTATCTTCTATTTTCTTGATAATCTATTATTTCTAAATTATTAACATTTTATTATTTGACAATCCATATACTGTAGTTACAAGGCCATTTGCTTTACAGATATATCTCTTAGTCCACTTTCATCATAAAATTCAGAGGAGCGCGGTTGTCTGTTTTAAAGAGACAGAGTTCCTCTTTCTTTCACGGTGGAATAAGGGATAATCATTTCAAATCAGAAAATGGCAAATTCGATTGCATCTTAATTTGTCACGCAAATTGTTCTCAAGAAAAATGTATTCACTGGATTCATTCATTTTTATCGCATGAACCATGAAAATTTAAGAAAGAAAACAACTAATACTTAAGAATTAAATCTCATTATCAAATCTATTTCTTTTCTTTATCTCGCTAGAGCGAACCGAAACGAGGAGAAAAAATTCCTCAATGTCAACATTTAAGGGGGTGTGACTTTTTATCCTTAAAGGAGAATGTGCTGTGACTATCAAAACGTTTTGTCATTGCTATAGAACAAGTCCTTGCTGCAAAAATCATGAACCTAGAACCCACTAGTGCGTTTTTCGATATTTGGCCCGAAAGTTTTCTTTTTTTTTTTTTAATGATGTTAACACTGCAGAACGTGTAAGTGCGTTCTTTTCAATAGTTACCAGAAACCCCGGCTTACCTGAACCTGCATGTCATTGAAACATTTTGAAATGTAGTGGCTAAATCACTGATATGACGGAATTTGTGTGATAATTACTCAAACGACAGCCTCAGTCTCGTAAGGTGTCACGCAACGTTACCCTCCTTATGGGAGCATTGCGTGACTTTTCGATCACAGTATCTCCCCACTGAATTTTATTTGACTAGTTAGATTATAACCAGTATTGCTTGTTAAGAGTACCGATAATAAGTAGAAGATTTTTAAAACGTAATACCATTCAAATGCGTAATTTTATAAAAATTTTATCTTTTACCACATGTTTGTACTTATAGTTTTCCCGCTTAAAACAGTCAACAAAAGAGACTGACCAAAGTTATATCGCGAGAATCTTAGAGATGTCAGAATTGTATTACATCTAAATATAGGAGGACTTGTTGGTTAGCACCACTGGTTTACCTTGTTGACTGTCTTACGCTGGAACACAAGTTTGTGATAAGAGATTATTGAACGTATTTTATTCAAAAATGGAGAGTAAGTATATATTTTCAAAGGTTTCTTAAAATCGTTCAAAACTTTGAGAGAAATCTTGATGCAAGTGAGATGTTTTGTATGTGTTGCGATCTTTAGTGGATAGTGGTTTAAATGGTGCCGCGCGTAGAAACAGAAGATCTTCACCTTTGGCGGTGAATTGTACAGGCAATATTGATATCATACACTAGGCAAGATTTTGATGCTATAAAACTGTCATGTTTCACCCCAGTTGCTCTTTTATTTTTCTAAAATTATAAGGCACGTTAAAGGTATGAAATGGTAGACGACTTGAGAAAAGTTTGACCAGTTTCTTCGTTACTTACAGAGCAAATGATAGTTTGGTATAGTGGGACGATTTGTTTTATGTTCGTTCATTGAAATCTATATGAGAGGAAAATCAATCTGTAGTGTCAATTGCTTGTCCTAGTGTTAAAATTTAAAGTGCCACTGAAATAGTTCATTGCAGCTCTCACCATAAACCATGCTAAGAGCGAATTAGTGTAGAAAAGTATAGGCTATAAGTCCCCAGGGGGAGGCTTACATTAAACTGGCAGAGTCTCGTACGGAGAATTTGTAATATCAAACAAGAGAAAGATCTGAAAGCACCTAAGAGTAGTGTCGACTCCTCCTGGGTAATGAGTACGTAGTCCATTTGAAGCGTTGGTTTCATCAGATGAAACCGTTTACTACTAGTTTTAATCTACCTAGTCATGCTGTGTTTAACACTCGGAAATCTAGTCCTTGAAAGATGTATATGGCTGTATTTGAATGAATAAAATTTGTACAGAGAGGTTTGTGTCTCATTTTCTTTCCTTGCATTAGTATGTCCCTTATAAATGTATTTTCGGGAGATTAAAGGGAAATTCAATCTCCAATAAACGCTTTTAACATTAAATAATAGCAGTGGTTTACAACTTTTGTTATTCCCCTGTTACGCCAATTTACCATATTAGGGCAACGGATCAAGCAAAAAAAGCCACAGTATTGCTATATCAGTAGCTGCGGGAAGTAAAAATCGGGTCTTAGATTTGGAGTCTGCCCAAGACAATTAGTCACAGCCGAATTTTCTTAAGTTGATGAAGTGAACCATATTTTCTAAGGTATGGGGCTTCACTCGCGTTTTTTTGCTGGATGATGCTCCGCTATACAATCGTCAAGCCCTAAACTTAAGGAAAAATAGACAGTTAAAGACTGCATGTGGCTATTGGTAAAGCACAATTTTATGGCATTGAAAAGAACTAGAGATTCTATAATGAGGCTAGAAGGTAGTGTTTCATAGTGTTTGTCTCAAATGCAAAATATAAAACCTGCCGCATCCCACACATATTCATGAGTACCCTGCACCACAAGGGAGAGAAAATTCAAGAATATATTTTATCATATAAAGTACGGCGCTACACAAGGACTCCAGCCCTGACAAAAGCCTTAACAACACACCTGAAAAAGTATCTTATTTTTTCTCAATCCTAGGTCGTTTGTCGTAATTTTTTTCGGATTATGGCTGTTAAAACACTGAAAAATCCGTATCGCTTACAGACAATGACTTTCAAACTTTCCTAGAAGGGGAAGAAAATCAAAATACGTAACGCACGTTCATGTATTATTCTCTAGGTCTAATTGACTTTCAACCAATAATTAAATGGTAACAAATAATTATATTAACAATATAACAATGATAACAATAGTAATTTGATAATAATTTAAAGGGACTAGCTCAAAAGCTTTATGGTTCCCCAATGTTTACACACCTAATAATGCTTCTTCTAGGAAACTTTTGTTTTTACCATGTTTAGCGTCTTCAGCTGTCTTCCGTAGTGTCACGGCAAGAAACGACAACATATATAATGTGCTTGTGACAACAACAACAACAACAACAACAACAACAACAACAACAACAACAAACTTAAGTGCTTGAACAGGATGAAAATCTTTGTCAAGGGGTGTAATTCTGTAATCTTACGTGTTTGGAAACTTATTTAATGTAAATTGAAAAATGGAATAATTATATTGTCACTGGCAAAAAATCTGAATAAACATCATATGAAATAAACGCCCCCTACCCCTCCCTTGGCAGTATTTGCGAGCCTACTCACCGAAGAAGTCTCGGCGCGACTTTGAATTCGCGAACCAATATGGCGTCCACCGAAGATTGGCGTAGTCCTGCTTACCGTCAGAAAGTTATTTTACAGATGTAAGTATTTCAGCTTTTCCTTTCTTCAAGTTATAGTATTTAAGGTAAAATTTCCGCACAGCCCCATACTATTGTTAAACAAATCTGTTTTCCCTATGGTAATGTATTGTTTTTGTCGTTGTTTTCTCTATCCAAGAACTGAATGCACAATGTACTATGGGGCTGTGCAGAAATTTTACCGTATTTAAGAGCGGTCGTGTTTTTTCTTAGTTCGATAGAGATTGTTCCACTCTTTGTGTTTAATGCGCCTTTTCAACTCTTCGCACATACTTCCGCTTGTAGCGAAGAAGCAGTAAAAAGATCTGGGAATCCCAATATGATGATGAGTAACCCCAGCGACATGGAAAATCAATTGTTTCTGAAGGCCGAAACAAGGGTGAGTGTACTTTTTACGCTACTGGATATCTTGGCATGACTCGAGATCTTCGTGTTTGTCATGCGAATAGTCTGATATACAATTTGATCACGTACTAATCGTTATACTGCATGTCTCTACCTAAGTCATCTTGAAGAGTGTTTTTAGTTTGGAAGCCATTGCTATCTATTACATTATCAATTGGAACATCAAAGAAAACCCATCCTTCTTTCAGTTTACCAAATGGACAGTTTGATTTCCTTCCACGCATTTTCAATACGCATTGTACTCAGACGAGTTTTCAGTTTCGTAGCCAAATCAAAGCTGCCAAGAAAAAAGGAAAATTTGCTTTCGTTTTATTTGTCTCATGTTAAACCTCTAGTATCTTTCAGTTGTTCAATTGTTCAACTACAACTGTTCAGAATAAACAAGAGTAGTGAACAGAAGTTACATTTCGTGATCATGAATTTTGTGGTCGAGTGAACAGGATGTTGCAAGATGATTTAAATTTGTTATTTGTGAGTCATTTAAAAACTTTTGATAACAGTAGTTCTGTAAGGCATGTCATTGGTAGACTTAAGGTAGCTTGGTAAACCTGTGGGTGAAACTGTACATCAGTACAATACCATGCGTTTGAAATGAGAACCTATAAGTTATCTCATATATAGGATGTGTTTGAAATGAGAACCTATAAGTTATCTCATATTTAAGATACTATTGGTGTGTAAATTGTATCATATGGTTATGGAAAATGCAATAAACATTAGCTTATGCATTCAAAAACAAACATTTCATAGAATTTCTGTATCAATCACTTTAAAATATAATTTCAGGAAGATCAATGTACATTTTTGGCATGAAGCATTACATGGTATTGCCTTCAACATGAAAAAAAAAAATGTCACAACTGTTGTCCCCTTGTTTCTTTCAGTACTTTGTGTCAATATGTGGACTGTGTTCTTGTTGTAGTGGTCTTGAAATTACAGTTTGTTCACCAGCAGCAGTCATCTTGAGTTATTTATTGAAATTCAAGGATGTCAAAAGTAAAACAAAAATAACTGAATTTTTTGTTTTTTTTTTAATTTCAAATAGCATGATATGTAATCATAACTCTAATTTTACTTAACATTCTTTTCTTAGGCTAATTACCTTTTATATGTTGCTCATGTTTTGGTTTATATTCGAGACAAACGTAAGTAAACTTGCTTAAAGTAACATACATGTTTACTGGAATATTAGGTTTAAGAAAATCCAAGTGGAAGCTGATCTTGTAAGCACTGACAAGATGAATAAGCATTTTTGCATGCAATTTTGTGGCTTAAACTCTACTTTAGTGCAGGAATATTTGCTTTGGTTTAGTGAAAAAAAGGACAAAGACATGAAAAATACACTCAGACCCATGCAAGGCACCCACCCAAAGGAGTAGAAAAAATGTACAAAATTAAAGATACAAATCAAAGCTAAGAAATAAGAGCAATCCTGTGATATGTACCACAATCAAATCAGGTCCCCATCAACTGCTATCAAAACTGAGATCTGAAGGGACTTATACTTATTTTTCAATAATAATTTCCAAGAAGGTGGAGCACATACAGTAACCTTTTGGATCCTAAAAAAATGGCAGTCTCAAGATAATTTTAGGTTTCTTGTAATCTGATAATTTTGTGGCACACAGTCATAATTGTCACTTTTGATGGGAACAGTCAGTGTAAAAGGGACATGTTTTCTTTAAGGAAACAGCAAACACTGATAACAAGCTAGGGCTCAAACTTGGATTATGTTAATCAAGCTTCCTTGTTAACAGACCACATTATCACCCACAGGAGTTGATATGTCTGTAGAAGACCTGATGAACAACCGAGCATAGATGAAAAGACTCACTTGTACAAACAAATAGATGGACTAAATAATATTAAAACATTAAAATCATAAATAACATTAAAACTTTTTTCTTGTTTGCCATAAATAATGACATTTTATTGTCTGTCTGGTGGGGTTTCATTTTCCAGTTAAGTTTTAATAATTGTTTGAGAGTTGTAAGCTCTGTGTTTTTGTCAAGCTAGGATTGAAAAGGAACTCAGGAACTCTGACCTGCTGCAAGAGTTGTGTAATGGAAAGCATCTAAATGATGCTTGTGATATGCTTATACCTAGTTATTCCCAGGCTCAGATATATTAATTTTTTATTTATTTGTTTTATTTTAACTTATGGATTGATCAGGTTAATCAAGAGGATTAGAAACCCAGGATTAACTTTCAAACTGTGCCAAAACTTAACATTCTTGATCATTTTCTGGCCTTTTTGTTTTGGTGGGGGGATCATTGAGTCCAGATGAAAGTTATTACAGGTCAGATGTCTTAATTAAACTATCTTATTGGGAAGTGCCTTAGCCTTGTCCAAAATAAAAAATCGTATTTAAAAGTGAACCACTCTGCACTCTCCAGCGCACTCGCTGAAGCGGCATTACTCTGAAACAAATTTTCACCACAAGGTAAAATCTTCAGTAATTTGGGATATGCAGTTGTACAGAGCGAGCTTGCAAGAAGGTCTTCCATGAATGGATTTTTTGTTGCCACACTGAAAAGTACTGAAGCCCATTAATATAGTCTTTGATGACATTTGACCTGAATGACTTTAAATCGCTTTCTTTGCTGGAGATTTTCGACAGCTACAGCTTACCAGACATTGAAGTACAAGTGTACATGTGTCATGTGTTGCGCTATTTCATGACCCATGACGTAATTAAATTGAAGGGATTTCCAAGTTTACTAGATGTGATGCTGTTTTTCCAGCCTAAGTACAAATTTACGTTTTCTTGTGTCCAAAATTTTCCTTTAAGCATTGTTGGATATTAAATGGAAATTTCAAAACTTTGCTAGATAAGTGTTTTTGACTAAATAGTACCCAGTAATAAACAACAAACTATTGCCTCCTTTATTTCTGCTCCCGCTTCCCGCCCCCTGTTCTCCTGCTTCCTGCCCTCTCCTGCCCCCTGTCTATCCACTTACTAGCAAGAAATCTATATAACATCATGTGAAATAAACGCCCCCCTACCCCTCCCCTGGCAATATTTGCGTGCCTACTCACCGAAGAAGTCTCGGCGCGACTTTGAATTCGCGAACCAATATGGCGTCCACCGAAGATTGGCGTACTCCTGCTTTCCGCCAGAAAGTTATTTCACAGATGTAAGTAATTCAGCTTTTCCTTTCTTCGAATTATAGTATTTAAGAGCGGTCGTGTTTTTCTTAGTTCGATAGAGATCGTTCCATTCTTTGTGTTTTATGCGCCTTTTCAACTCTTCGCACATACTTCCGCTTGTAGCGAAGAAGCAGTAAAAAAATCTGGGAATCCCAATGTGATGATGAAGAATCCTAGCGACATGGAAAATCAAGTGTTTCTGAAGGCCAAAACAAGGGTGAGTGTACTTTTTACGCTATTGGATATCTTAGCATGACTCGAGATCTACGTGTTTGTCATGCGAATACTGATACACAGTTTGATCGCGTCGGTAGTAATCATTATACTGCATGTCTCTACCCAACTCATATTGAAGAATGTTTTTAGTCTGGAAGCCATTGCTATCTATTACATTATCAAATGGAACATCAAAGAAAACCCACCCTTCTTTCAGTTTACCAAATGGAGAGTTTGATTTCCTTCCACGCATTTTCAATACGCATTGTACTCAGACAAGTTTTCAGTTTCGTAGCCAAATCAAAGCTGCCTAGAAGAAGGGGAAAATTGCTTTCGTTTTGTTTATCATATGTTAAACCTCTAGTATCTTTCAATCGGCTACAACTGCTTAGAATAAACAAGAACAGTGAACAGAAATTAAATTTCGTGACGTTATGCACGCAAAGTCATACAAACAGTCATATCACGAAAGTTCTGCTCAAGTGAACAGGATGTTGCAAGATAACTTAAATTTGTTATTCGGGAGTCAGTTACAAACTTTTGAAGAGGGTAGTTCTGTTAGGCATGTCATTGGTATCTAAAAGTAGCTTGGTAAACCTGTGGGTGAAACTGTGTATCGGTACAATACCATGCGTTTTGAAATGAGAATCTTTGTTCAAGGTATCTCATTGATACTATTGATGTGTATTGTATCGTATAGGAAATGCGTAATATATTAGCTTATCCATTCAAAAACAAACATTTCATAAAATTTCTGTATCAATCAATTTTAAATATAATTTCAGGAAGATTAATGTAGATTTTTGGCTTGAAGCATTACATGGTATTGCCTTTAACATAAAAAAAAAAAAAAAAAAATGTCACGGCTGTTGTCCCCTTGTTTCTTTCAGTACTTTGACTTGATATGTGAACCATGTTCTTGTTGTAGTGGTCTTGACATTACAGTTTGTTCACCAGCAGCAGTCGTCTTGAGTTATTTTTTGAAATTTGAGGTTGTCAAAAGTAAAACAAAATTATACTCTGACTTTTTTTTTTTTATTTTTTTTATTTTTTAATTTCAATAACATGATATGTAATCATAACCCTAATTTTACTTAACATTATTTTCTTAGGTTGATTACCTTGCATATGTTGCTCGTCTTTTGGTTTATATTCGAGACATACGTAAGTAATCTCGCTTAAAGTAAAATACATGTACACTGGAATATTGGGTTCAAGAAAGCCCAAGTGGAAGCTGATCTTGTAAGCACTGACAAGATGAATTAGCATTTTTGAATGCAATGTTGTGGCTTAAACTCTACTTTAGTGCAGGAATATTTGCTTTTGTTTTGTGAAGAAAAGAACGAAGACATGAAAAATACACTCAGTCCCATGCAAGGCACCCACCCAAAGGAGTAGAAAAAATGTACAAAATTAAAGATACAAATTAAAGCTAAGAAATAAGAATTACCAATGATGACATGAGCAATCCTGTGAGATGTACCACAATAAAATCAGGTCCACATCAACTTATATCAAAACTGATATCCAAAGGGACTTAGACTTATTTTTCAAAAATTATTTCAAAGAACCTGGAGATAAAATTTCTAGGAAGAGCTACATCAAAAACAATATTCCACAATTTGACTATGGAAATAAAATACAAAGGTTGTACACTGACCATATGGGGGACATGAATGGTTGTTAAATTTCACATTATTACTAACGTCAAACAAGATTCATGATTTTTCTCTTATAAGCAAGAAGCAGCATATTCAAAGCAAGTAATCTCTCTATATATAACATCTGGGGAGGCTCTGAATGCAAGATCCATCTTGTTGCTCACCTAAGAACTATTTTGAGTTTTAATGACTCTCTGACCAGGAGACCTATGTGGGTAGCATAACAAAGGTGGGGTTTCATGATCACTAAATATAAGGAACTTCTCACTGGGACTTTAGTTAACATAGAACATGATCTCTTTTGCAGACTGAGGAGTTTGTTTACAGATAAGATAAGCTTGTTCAAAATAATTATGCCTAGGATCTTTCTCCTTGTGCACATGTAGTAACCTTTCAGATCCTACAAAATGATGGTCTTAAGATATTTTTTAAGTTTCCTTTAATCTGAAAATTTTGTGGCACACAGTCATAATTGCCACTTTCGATGGGAATAGCCAGTGTAAAAGAGGCATGTTTTCACTAAGAAAACAGCCAACACCAATAACAAGGGCTCAAATCTGGACTATGTTAATTGAGCTTCCTTGTTAACAGACCACAATAACACCCACAAGAGTTGATGTGTGATTTTAAAATTTGATTTAGGGCCAAGTGCCCCTGGGCAGCAGCAGACACCAGCAGCAACCATGAATCAGCCTGGTATGAATCGAGGATTGCAATTTCCTTCACCTCAGCTCAACAAGTCACAAGCCATGAACACCATGGGTGCACAGGGTACCATGCAACAAGTGGTACCATTGGGTCAAGTCCAACAGCCAACAATGGCACCTCAGCAGGTGTTTTATAATAAATCAGGAATGACCCAAGAACAGATTCTTGCCCAGCACCTTCAGCAGCATCAACAGCAACAAACGCCTCAGCAACATCAACTTACCCCTCAAGCTATGATGTCGCCTCAAGCTATGAGTGTCAACTCTCAGAATCAAGGGGCACATCATCAAATAACCCAAACACAGTCTTACATTTCTCCAAATCAAGGGGCATCTCCGATGCCTGTTCAACAGCAACCTGTACATCAAGGTTTGCCTCATCTTCATGATCTTGTTGTGGTTGACTTTCAACAGGAGTATAACAGAGACGTGTAGATGGCCCTAGTTGATGAGGAGGCTGGGCATTTCAGGGTGTAATTTTGCTGAACTTTAAAACAATGGAATAGCTTGTCTTTCTTCCCTCTTGTCCCACAAAAGAACTTTTGCTCCCACTCTCTAAATCTCCTAGTATCTTAGTAGGACAATTTCATTGCCCAGGTGAAGACTTTACTAGTTCCCTCCCAAAATTTCAAAGTTGAATTACAATTATATGACTTGTGGAAAAAACATCTCTTTCAAAGCAAATTCAGCTGAAATTTTTTCTCTTGGGGCAACTGATGTAAAGGCAACTGATTTTATCTTAACTCCTTACACCCTAACATCAGTATGCACATTCTCATTACTGTTCTCTGTACATTTTGTAAGGGGCTGGTGAAGAGAATATGTTTAGCAGTAGAGAGCTCCTTTAGTTGGTGTTCACTTGTTTATTCTTATGACCTCAATGTGTGATTCAGGGGTGATATTGTGAGTAGAAATTAGATACAAGTCACTCTTAGGTGTCAAAGGGTTAAACTGTGTTGGGGTTAAAAGGCCTTGGTGGTTCACACTCAGCCAAGCCCTCCTGGCATGTGGCCTGTAGGTCTCAGTTGAAGGAAATTAACAGTGAAACTAGTTTATGGACCTATTTTGAACAAAAGAAAAATTTAATGGATAGATTGATTGAAGTTTTGATGCGTTAATGATTTAAGTAACAATTATTGTGATTGCTTTTTGTTTTTCCTTTAGTGCAACAGACCAAACATACTGTTCAAGGAAGAATACCACATGTTCCATCCCCAGCTGCAGGGCAGAACATGTCATCCAATTCCATGCGAGCACCTACTCCTTCATCCAGTTTGACAAGCCAGGCCACCATTGCTCCATCACCAGCTCCTTTTGTTCCATCACCTGCAATGCACCCATCACCCTCCCCTCAGGTAAGGCTGCAAGGCTTCAATGCAGTCTTAGTTTAGCAATGAAGCTGTCTTTGCAGTAAAATGAGTCAATTGTAAATTAAATTTGAAATTTTACCCTTGTGCCTGTTTCAAGCTGTGTCGTGGTCAGGATGACAGTTTAAGCTGTCAGATCACACCAGTATGGCCTTAAATTTTTCAAGTAAGTAATAGCTTGACTTGCATTGTGTAAGCATCCAGCTACATGGCTGGGGCTCAAAACCTCAGTGTGGGACTCAGATTTTTCTTTATCCTTTACTACCTTCTTTCCCATGCAATCTGCAAAAGCATTATGGCAACAGGATGCTGCATCACTTATGCACCTTGTAAAACACCTGTCCATTGTTTGCAACAAGTTCTCTTCAGCTTAGCTGATGTACATGTAGTATTTGGTGGTCAAATTATTACTTGCCTGGGTACTCTTCTGAGTTCTGGGGACTTTTCCTTTTCATGCCTCTAAAAACTGTGAATCACCTTAGTTCCAATTCTTGGATGTGCTTTGATTTTTTTTCCTTGCATAGCATTACGTGCCAGCATCACCAGCTGCCCCTACATCAGTACCAACTCCTAGCACGATGAATGTTCAGTCACCAGCCTCTGTTCCAAACCCTGCTTCAGTGGGACCCCCAGAAGCCAGCCCTGCTCCACTGAACCCAGCTGAAGAACAGGCTTATTTGGATAAGGTATGTGTGTAGTATATTACTTAATAACCATTTATCAAGTGACTGGTGTAACTCTGTGCACACAATCGCTTTAAAAAAAAAAATAGTGAAAGGTGATATGTATATAGGGTGCAAGAAAAAAAAGCTGGCCAGCCCTGCAGTCACATTTTGCATTTTTTTGAGAACTTGGATTCAACTTGTGGAGTTAAACAAAAAATATCTAGAAGTCAGGGGTTTCAATAATAGCCAGGTAGCAAGTATATCTATCCACTTGTAATGAGCTGATTACCCACTTGTAGCATGTCCCCCACTAGTTAAGAAAGCCCTCTGGGGCTTCTAAGAAAATACCCACCTGTTATGCTAAAGTACCCTCTTGTGCTAAAAATTATTGAAACCCCTGGAAGTTGTCCAGTTTGTGCCTTTCTTTTGTATGCAACTTCAACCTTTGTAGGTTGAAACAAGTTGTTTGAAGGTTTCCACACTAAGTGAGCTTAGTAGTAAATGCTTAATGACAAGTTAGGCTGGCAGAATGGGAAAATATTTGGCTCTAGATGTTACGCAAAGATGTGTGTCAATACCCAAGCCAAATGTTTAGGCGTCTGGCCTTTGGTACTCAGTCAATAATTACATGCATATACTATATCAATTAAAGAATGATCAGGGTCATTAGTTGATTACTTTTACAAAATGATACCCCTGAAGATGCATTGGTTTAACATTTGGTGTATTGGACCAAATACCTCTTTGCATCTATGGGTGGTGTGTTCATTCAGAGGTAGTGCTCTTCTGAGTAAACAAAGCATTTCACATTTCTGGACCTAGAAAAGTCTAATTTTTGCAAATTCTCATTAATACATCTCATAGCTAAATGAACTGAAACCTTATGTTGAACCACTGACAAAGATGATAAACAAGTTGAACCGAGATTCAAGGGAGAAAGGTAAGTGTTTTGGGTAAGAAACGTTGGTTCAACTTGCGGCAAGTTGGTTGGGATACCGTGAGTCATTTTATTTGGTGTACATAATATTGTATGAAATTACCTTCAATATGGGCAAACCAAAAAGGAACAATTGATGATGGAAACAATATATAGAATATTATCAGCTTGTAAAACAATGACTTTAAGCTTCTCTAGTTATATACCTGTAGTTTTCATAAGAGGCATTCTGAATATGTTTTTTTTTTTGGGAGGGGGGGGGGAATTGTTCTGGTAAGGTAGTCTCAACTTTGATCACTTGGAACATTTCTTTCTCTCCACCCATTGAATTTCATTTAGGGAATGAACAGCTTATAATGCCTGCACCTGTGCAACTGGAAAAATTATTTGTGATATAGCGTATTTAGTGGTTTTATACATGTAGCTTCCCACTGAAAGTGAATGAACATATGAAGAGAGGGAGAATTTTACTTCAAATAGTTCAGCAAATACACAGTTATTACCACCTAGAATAACATTAATTAAACAACAGGTAGAGGTATTTTAGTTTTCAGCTAATAAAGGGAGGTGTTTATCAAAATGACATCTCCTTGCCTAGAATGATAAATAAAGGAAACTGCTCAGAATTGGGTTGTTGTGAGATGACAGTTTTTCTACAGTGTTAGTTTTTTGTTTCTTTCAGAACACAGCAGTTTGTACAAATTGAAGCATCTCTACAATATCCTGACAAACCCAGCAAAAAGGTGAGCAAACTCATTTGAAATAAGAGGTACATGTAAATAAATATTGTTCCTGAGCTGTCATTGTCAAAAGTCCAATGTCACTGAGAGTGATGTGTAGAGAAATCCAAATTTCAGGGATAGGATAACTAATCTGAGATCCAGATTGCATTAAATTTGGCACTGGTGCCTTTCCTGGGAGGGGAACAAGCAAGAAAAATTGTGTACCAGGAAAGAAAGAAAGCCAGTAACAAACCCTTACATAGCAGCTGGCTTTAAACGACATACCAGTTGAAACTGACAAGCCCCTCTTGAATCCTACATCCATTGGCACTGTGACAAAACTGTCTTCAGTGGTTCAGTAAGCTGAAGTTAAATAACTTGACTGACAACCAATTTCCTTACAGTCAACAACAAAAGTTTTCTTTCAACAAACCGCCGCCTGGTTAGCTCAGTTGGTAGAGCGCCAGTCTGCTGTGCGGGAGGTCGAGGGTTCGAGCCCCAGACCGGACCAACACTCAGGGTCTTAAAATAACTGAGGAGAATGTGCTGCCTTTGTAATTGTACCAGCAAATGGTTAGACATTCAAGTCTTCTCGGATAAGGACTATAAACCGTAGGCCCCGTCTCCTGCATCTTCAGTGTTACATGGTCAGCAGGGGACGTTAAAGAACCCACACACTTGTCGAAAAGAGTAGGGGGCGTAGTTCCCGGTGTGGTGGTCTATCTGTTGTTTCATTGTACATTTCATGCATGGGCTGGGTGGGTGAGTGAGATCAAATATGGACTGATAGCGGCAGCCAGAGGCGCCTTTACAAGCTGACGTTCGGTCTCACTCAATTAGAATTGTAAACCGCCTTGAGACAGCATGTGATATGTGCGGTATATAAATACACATTCATACATTCATTCATAACAGGGCTTCATTCAAATGATCACATTATACAACATAACATAATTATATTTATTCAATATTAATTAACCCTTTAACTCCCATGAGCGACCAAGACAGAATTTCTCCTTACAACATCAATACAACATTAAGGAGACAAGTGTTGAGAATAAAGAAAAATATCAATTAGGGGATTATTAGTTGATCCAATACCAAATTCTCCAAACTAACTTCATAAGAATTGTAAGGCAGACAGTAAGGAGAATTACATAATTATGATATTTTGGGATTGAAAGGGCAGATTATACAATGAAAAATTTGATTGTGCAGTAATGTCAATGAAACTTGAGTTTTTTTTTGTATTTGTTTATGCTGATTACAGAGTTTCATTTCTTACATCAGGCTTCCTTTGCAAGCGCTGGAAAATAGTGGAAATGTGCTGAAAAAGCTCATCCCAATCACTACACCACCAGCCCCTCCCACACCATCTGGTAACACCACTTCCTTAGCCTCTACCACGTCTGTTGTAACAACTACAAGTCAAGCTGTTCCAGTAGTACCATCAGCTCCCATCCAGACAATTTACAAACCTTTGTTTGATGCAGTTACAAAGCATGCAAAGTCACCTATGTTGGGCCACACTCTGAAGAGAACATTTACACCACTGCTGCAAGCTATGGAAGGACCACCCATACTGTAAGTTTAGCATTATGGTTGGCTCCTGACAACTTGATCCTTAGAGGTTTGAGGGATCCATTTTTGTTAAAACGTAGGCGTGGGTAGCATGCAGGAATTAATTTTTTTAGCTGGGTGGGTTGAGGTGGGACACTGTGTACCTACCTGTAATGTTTTCATTTTTGTAACAGAAAAAGAGCACAACTTTCAAAAGAATGAAAATAACCCATTACTTCACCTTAAGGGAAAGATAAACAACTCCCACGGGTATTTCATAGTCTATTGTCTCTATTGTCTAAATACTTTGAGCAAAAGAAAAATACATTAGTGCCATGCTTAATGTAGTCTCCTTGGCAGCCATTGTTTGGTTTCGTCATACAATACCCTTTGGAGAGAGAGCACATCGGATAACAAGACCAAATAACAGTTGCAAAAGAGACTATGTTTACTGCTATTCCTCAAACAGACAGAAAATCAAAATTATTTGTTTACAGTTAGCTGCCTCAAAAATATAATTCCATGTAATTTTACCACAAAAAGCAAACAGAAACTCTGTTGTATCTGCAATAGACCTTAACCAAAGATATAATGGGATCTCAAATAAGTGAAGATACACTGAACAAGAGAAAAGGATAACATTTCAAAGAGGGCTCCTTGATTGGTTGTTTCCTGTTTAGACTTTGCCCTCTGTGTGTGAAATACATAATAAAATGCGCGTTGTTTACAAGGAATTTACACACCAGTGGGTTAAGTCCAAGGTAGCTAAAAGCAAATTTTATTTGTAGAAAAAGTCAAAATGCTGGAGAATGGTGGAAATTCATTATCAGTAGCATTTAGTTCCATGTGAATTTTTTTCAGCGGCGTTGGACAATGTGCTTAGAATATGTGTTAAAATGCAAGTTGTTTACAAAGTACTTTTAACTTAAAAATGTACAAAAACCTTAAATGTGAACCTTTCATGTCCTGACAAATCTCAACCTTAATCAGTGTGGCTCTCCCAAAGGCCACAGATCTTTACACTTATCAAATGAGCCCAAAATTTCTGGTTAATGTCATTCCTTATGCACAGCCTTCTGATTCCATGACATCGTTTGCAAAAAAGCAAAAATCCAAACTTTTGATTGGTGCAAGTGATATGATTGGTGCAAGATACATACCCTTATGCAGCAATCTGATTGGTGTGAGATACATACCCTAATGCAGCAATCTGATTGGTGTGAGATACATACCACTCTACATGCTACAAGAGAGTTTATTTTTTTTTTATAGAAAAAAAAAATTGAGAATTGTGTGGTAGGACACCCCACTATTTCCCTTATTTCTGCCTTTTTCATGTCTCCAGGACTTATGAATGAATACTTTGATATGTGAGTTGGCTTCCTTGTGGTTCCTTGGTATCATTTTCAGATTAACTGTGTTTTACAGATATATACAGATAGAAGGAAGAGGATTGGCTAATGTTTTTTTTTTTTTTTAATTTGTAGTCCTATCCCACCTCCAGCCAAGAGGATCAAGGTTACTGGTGAAATCCCCAAGAAGTGTACTGTGCCCCATGTGTTGCAAGGGGAACTTGCCCGCTTGTGCAATCGATTTCAAGTGAGATCAGGAGTCAGCTCTGGAGCAGTACAGAGTAACACACTTCTGGAGTGTTCAATAAGTAAGAAAATAATTTTAAGATTCAATTGCTTTGAAATATTAATTTTTTTACCCTTAAACTCCCAACATATGATAGTTAATTCTCCCCTGTAGCTGCTACACTTTCCCTGCTAAATAAACCCTTTAACCCCCAGAGGTGATTTACATGTAACTTGTCCCTATGATATCCATACATTATCCAGCCAACAAGTGATGATAGCATTCACACTTATCAAGTTGAAGCTGTTATCCTGATCTAACCCCAAATTCTTGTAACTAATTTACAAGGAAATATGTATCAGCTAGAGGCGAGAATAATTCTTAACAATCAGATCTTGAGAGTTAAATGGTTAAATACGTGAATTTGTTGTTGGATCAAGATAACAACTTCTACCTGATAAGTTAAAGTATTCTCAAAAGAAGCTACCTATTAAGCAATTCTGGGAGTTAAAAGGTTAAAGCTGTAGATAAAATCTGTAATTATCGTGGGCTGGCCTAGTGGTTGTTACTTTACCATTTCAATTGTTTTTGCAACCATTGATTAAAAGAGAATGTCGTTTTACAGTAAATGGTTTGAACCTGGGGTAACATGTAATAGTGTCCTGGTGGGTGTGGTCCTGAGAAGGACTGTCGTCAGAAGTGGTGACTGACATTTCAACAACCTGAGCAGAAGTTATCATCAGAGTGGACTCTACCAACAACAGTCCTTCTCAGGACTACACTCACCTAGATGATCAAACTACTCTATTACAGAATGTTGTTTTATTGGTATATTGATTGCATGCAAGAAGTTATGTTTTTATGTACTAATTATTTTGTACATTTGACTTGAAATTTAACTAAGTTCTCCTAACTTTTACATCCAAGATGACCTGAACCTGCCTGCAGTTCCACCAATAGAAATCAGTGTTCCACAGAACTACCCTTACTCCAGTCCTGAGTGCAAGACGGCAAATTATAGTAAGTTCTACATTCTACAAAGTGTCTCTGTGTATGAAATTCACCTCTTACAATCTTTGTCTTGTGCATTTAATTATGGAATGCTGTAATCCAGTATTCAACTGATTTAATCCTTTAAACCCTAGGAGTGACCAGGATCTCATTTCTCCTTACAGTAGTAATGAGAATAAAGGAAAATTAATGCTTGCCAAACCTACAAAGCTTTGATCTCCAAATGAATTCTCTATGTCAACACCAAAAGCAACATATAGAAAAGAGTATGGAGAATATGGATCATGATATTATAATAATAATAATAATAATAATAATAATGATAATACAAAAATTTCTACAGCGCCCTATTCTAGAGCTCTAAGGCACTTTACAATAAAATGTTTAAAGCAGTAACTTAGTGAATAATAAATTTGAAAAATACTAGTTAGAGCAAAACTACAAATTAAGGTAGGGCTTAAAAAGATAAGTTTTAAGGTTGCTCTTAAAAGATGTAAGATTTAAACTACATTTTATATTCTCTGGAAGATTATTGCAAAGTTTAGGGGCACAGACTGAAAAAGCACAATCACCATAAAATTTTAACGTTGATCTAGGTGTCACCAACAAGTTCATGGTTGATGATCGTAAAATGTTGGGGTGTGAAGGGTTGACCATTTGACCCCTAAGTGTAACTGGCTTTTAAATTCTCCCTACAGTATAACCTTTTAATCAAATGTAAAGATGATGAGAAAAGTGAAAATGATCACCAATTTAAGAAGCTCCTGATTGTCAAGCAAATTCTCCCTGTCATTAACACAGGAAATGTAGAGAGATCATTGTGGAGAAAATGAATACCAATGTTGGGGTGGAAAAATGTAACTTGACTAAGCTCTGTGACTGGTCTTGGCAACTTCCAGCACTTCAATTCCTTAACCAGTAACATACAAATCTTAAGTTTGTGGTGATAGGGTCACTCTCATTTTCCAACTTTCAAAGCTGCTTTTACAAAGTACATGTATGCATATTAGTACAAGTCCTCTTTGGCTCCTGTCTCCTGACATTATGTTCTTCATCAAGATTTAGGTCATGTAAACATGTTTAATTTCTGTGTGTTGTAGATGCCAACCCTTTTCTCCAGAAAGTCCAGAGGCAGCTATCTTCAAATCTGCAGTGTATGCCTGAAAAGTACTCTGTTACATCAGTCCTGAATGCATGGGTAGGTATTTGTGATATCATTAGTGGGTATTTGTGTGAGGAGGGGGGGGGGAGGGTGGGATGCAGCTAATGCTTTCCAAATGAAAATTTCTAAGTCTGATCCCTGATTATTGTCCTGGTTAATATTTGTTTTGCATGGGTTTGTACATGTATTTGCAATATTCCAAACAAAAATTAGACAGGAAAGAGGTGGAAGAGGGGGGGATTTGGTGAGAGGAAGCTTGTTTTCTTTTAAGCCCTTGACCTCTGAGAGTGACTAACATCTAATTTCTCATTACTATATCACCCTCAAATCCTACATAAAGGTTGTGAGAATAAAGAAAATGATCACCAACCAAAGAAGTTCTTGATTGATGAACAAATTCTCCTTGTCAGCACCCAAGGAAATGTAGAAAACAGTATGGAGAATACACATACTTATGTTAGGGTGTTAAAAGTTAATAGAAGTGTCTAAGTTTGATCCCTGATTACTATCCTGGTCCTTATTTTTTGTTTTTCAGGAACAAAGCATACGGCAAGCTTGTCTTGCAGAAGTTGCAGTGAACTAAGATAATGGGTTGGGGGACTTCAGTTAAATTTTGTTGTAAAGTAATTTCTATAGCTACAAAGTTGTATTTTGACAGAAAAGTAAGATATTTATTTGTGTAGAAACCGTTAAGGGATCACCATGAAAATTGTAGTCAGACTACAAAAATGTCACTTTTTTGAATAGAAGGTATTTTATAAACTATATATTTGTGTAAGAGAGGGAACTGTAAGAATACTCAATATAACAGATTCTCCAGCCATCAATTTTTCCGTTGATAAACTTAGCAATCAATGTTTAAAGAAAATATTGTTCTGTTACTGTTTCAGTGCTTTAAACAATTTTTGACGTGATCTTGATCTATTTATTTGCTGTGCTGTCTGGTAAATGATCATTTACAATAAAATAAATTTATCAGATGACAAATGTTTTATATTCTCACTGAACTCTATTGTTATTTTGTCTGACTGAAAATAAAAAGCTGTGTCTGGAGTACATTTTACATTAGTGTGGGAGCATTCCACTACAGCCAAAATGCATTAACCGGTAATAATGGTTATAACTGCCAATTCAGTGGATTTGCTGCTGACACCAGGAATGACATTTTAACTCGCATTTAATCTTTATTGACTTGACAAGCAGTGCAAAGATATCTTGCAGCAGAGCAATACTCAAGCATAGCGTGCAGTTAAAACTGAAAGAAATATACATATAAACAAACTTTACAGTAGAGAAAAACCAAAAGTGAAATTGACATAAAACCTAAATTGACAATCGCTAAAAAATGACACATTTGATATGGCCCTGGAAATAGCTACTTAAACTGTACTGTATACTGCAGTTGTGTTTCCATGGAAACTAAAACGGACTGCATAACATTCCTACCAAAACAATGATATTAAAACTGCTGAAGCCATGAGAGCATTTTAAATAAATTACCCTTGTCTAGGTGCATTCCACATGCCCCATAGAGAAAACAATAGGCTAACTAAATATATAGGCACTAATGATCTTACAGTGGCAATAACAGATTACCAGAGCAAACAAAACAGAAAAAAAAAAACAAACAAACCAACAGACTTGTGTCCTTAGAGTATATTTTACTAACTTTTAGAAAAACATTCAAACCTCAATTGCATTGACCTCAATTATCCAGATTTTGTTCTCTAATCTCATTTTCTTTTGGATAGTCCTATTTGCAATCTGTAACAACTTCAAAGAATGATGGCATGAGCAATGCATGCCTGCCATAACAGTTTTGAAATAAACAAACCTACATTGGCATAAATGTTAGGTTGGTTTTGATAACCTTCTGTAGATACTTTGTCAAATGTTAACAGTGTATGCACAATTATTAGAGAATTTGCTTTTATTCTTGCATTATTCTAACTGTAATAGTCGGCTGTGGCAAGAAAAAAGGCTGTAAGGTGAATCTCAAGTGCAAGAGCAAGCTCTCAGGCTCAACAGATTGGGTAAGAGGTCTTAAAAGCCATGGTAGAGCACTGGTAACATGCTCAACAGATTGCAGTAAGAGGTCTGACTTACAAAAGGCAGCAGAACACTGATAACCTGCTTTTATTGAAACCCCCAAAACTCTGACAATATGCTGCATAGGGAGAAATTAAAAGCAAACTGTTTGTGCATTGTAGCATTCAGCAAAACTAAGCTGACTATACTGCCAACAAATGATGTAATGAGACATTGGATTCAGCTGTTAATTCATGACAAAGATACTCTGAAAAACAAATGAACATGTTACCCCTTGTGACCGAGTTATTTTTAATTAGTTAATTCCTGGTGAGATGAGAAGAGTCATTGACTTTTTCACTTTCATCAGTAATCAAAATGCACTTCAGTCATCATACAGTTCCCTTCTGATACTGTGGAAAAATTTAACAATAAAGCAGTTAATGATGCAACACCCATTACCTCTTTACACTCTAACATCAATATGCATATTCTCCACATTATTCTCTTTGCATATTCCAAAGTGCTGACAAGAATAATTTGTTTAACAGTCAAGAGCTTCTTTAGTTGGTGATCATTTCCTCTATTCTTGTGACCTAAATGTTTGATTCAGGGCTGATATTGTAGGGAGAAATTAAATGTTGGTCAATCTTAGGGGTCAAAGGGTTTAAGAAACCATTAACAATCACACTGCACTGATCACTTGAGTTAAATTATTTTAAGTAGCTTTCAATTTTTCAACTCCAACCAGAAGTATTTCAAGATAAAAAAGACCTCTGATTGGAACACAGAATCCACAGAAACAAACTGGATCTTGAAATTTACACACTGTTAACTCATTCTACCCTGCTAATAACTGTTTTATTGAAAACTAATGTGCCAATCAGTTCAAAGCTTTAATGTCCCTCCTTGGCCACTCACAGGTGCTTGATCATCGTCCATACTGGGGGGTGGGGAATTTGAGCCTTATTGCCTGGCTGGAGTGGGAAATTTGAACTGGAAATGTCAAGCCTTTCCAGTGGAATACAAGTGTTAAATCTTTGAATATAGATGTGTTTAAAGTAAATACTTACCAGAGATAATTATTCTTACCCCTCAGCAAGAAAACAATACTAAACTTTACAAGTTTATTGACATAAAATTATTCATGCATTCCCATCTGAAATTTAACATCCCTATTTTAGGTGTACTTGATATATAAATGTGGACAAAATAACCAACCCTTCAGCTTGCTACCTGTGAAGTTGAGTGACTAACAATACTAAATTGGGCAAACAAAAGTAAAAAGATGAAAATCAATGTCAGTATATGACCAATTGTACATCTTCACCTCCCATAATCCAACAACAGTCAACTGATAACAAGTTAGGGTTGATGTTGGATTCAGGGAGGGGTAGGTGCTCAGTAGCTCAGACACCGACATTGATCCAAAGTTTGTTTCTTGTTCAATACCTTTTTCATCAGCCATTCTGCATCCTGTATAGCTCTGTCAATTATTTGTTGTATTCTTTGCGGGTCAGTTTCATCACAGTGACTTGCGTAGGCCTAAACAGAAACAATTTCTGATAAATGCAGAAGGCTGACTTATAGTAAAAGTAATATCCAATTTATAATCAATAGATGAGTTAACTCTCGTCTGTTCTCACAAATTATTCCCGTCCTTTTCAAGGTATAGTCCTTTTTTACAAACCTGTAGGGGTTTGAGGTATTTAGGGGACATTATATATCCACAGCCTCAGAATATTTATGATTTATAAGTTTTTGCTTTTGATCAAAGCTCCCTATAAAATCATAATCAAAGACAATAATGGCATCTTTCTTGCAGCAAAAAGGCAAGTCAGTAAGGTTGAAATACCCCAATATTATAAACTGTACTAGCATCAGCTGTCTATCATCACTATACTATACCTGCTTCACGTGGTGCTTATAATGCTTCTGTGTCTCTTCAGGTAATTTTCTCACACATTTCAGCAGAAATCTGTAAAGTGAAAGCGGAGTTCGAGGGCTCTGTTGCATCGCTATCGACTGAACCATCAGCTGCAGGTTTCAAACGAACCTTACATGAAGTAGTAAACATTGAGCCTTGCAACCTCCCCTCTGTTAACGCAGATCGCGAGCAGTGGACGACCTTTATACTAAGATTTGCTATCAAAACAATGGCTCTTAATTCAGCTTCCTCTGGTGAAAATGGCGAAATAGTGGTAGTTACAGGTGCAGCTGGATTTTTGGGAATTAAGATAGTTGAGCTATTGAATACGCGTGGTATGAACATCCAAGAGATCCGAGGTGTTGACATCCGTCCGAGTCAGCCATCGTACTTCCTTCAAAATGCTCAGGGCGGAAGATTGAGGTACAGGCGAGGAGACATTTGCAATTATGAACAGGTAGGCTAATCTGAGAAAAAAAAAGAATAATGAAATAATGCGCTCCTCCAGGACTTAGTTATGATCGATCAAAAACATGGCTTGTGGGTACGTCGGAACATTCGATTACACGTCCCGGAAGGAGGCTTGTCTGCTTCGAAGATCTTGAAATTAACCAATAACAAACATTTTTTCGTTAGTTGAGGTAATTGGGTGTTATTGTGAGACAAAAAACCGCAGAAAATATCTAAATACTTCTCACTGCCTGTTTGCAATGTGTTGAAATTGGAAGGTTCAGAATTTATACACTGAATTACTCATAGGTGTTAAGGAAACGGACAGGGGTTGATGTCCAGCTTCGAAAATGACATTTGTTGTTGTATGATATCTGTATACTCAGCTCTAGTTGTTATTTATTCCACAAATGTCTGAAAATGTATGGGTTACTGTTTGTAGTTAACTAAATATTTCAGTTAGACTTCATGAGATCATAACTTTCTCTGAAAGAGTTGGTGTTTGAGACCCATGTTAAAGTTTCCATGACCTTTCTCAGAATGTGCAAGTGATACTTTCTGGAACTCAGTTAGGTCATACAATTAGTAAGTCAGACAGTAATTCATTCATTCATTCATTATTCAGTCATTGGGTTGGTCAGTCAATTAGTCAGTTACTCAGTTGGTCAGTGACCTCAGCCACTCAGTCAGTCAGTCAGTGGGTTCATCTGTCAAAAATGTCATTCAGTCAGTGACTGATCAGTCAATTAGTCAGTTAGTCTGTCAGTCAATCGGTTGGTCAGTCTTTCAGTCAGTCAGTCAGTCAATCAATCAATCAGCCAGTCAAACAGTCAGTCAGTCAGTGTGTTGGTCAGTTAGTCTTTCAGCCAGTCAATCAGTCAGTCAATCAGTTAGTTCTTCAGGCAGTTAGTCAGTGTGTTTGTCAGTCTGTCAGTCAATCAGTGAATCAGTCAGTCAGTCTTTCTGTCAGTCAATCCTTTAGTAAATCAGTCAGTTGGTCAGTCAGTCTAATACCAATTGTAAGATCACATGATTTGGACAAATTGATCAGAATGAAAGGATTGTGTAATCATTATGGGAAAAGAATACACTATGTGCCTTTTAAATTTCTTTCCTCTCTTTGAAGGTCAAGGATGTTTTCACACAAGCAACTGTTGTTATCCATACAGCTGCAATAGTAGACATCAGTCACCCATCAGAGATGAAAATGCACGATGTTAATGTGAGAGGAACAGAAAACATAATCCAGGCCTGTTTGGAATGCAATGTGGGTAGGATAGTGTACACAAGCACTGCAGACGTTGCTCTGGGATGGTTGGATAACAACAATATAAATGAAGAAACACCCCTTCCTGGTGAAAAAGTCTCAGATTATCTTTTCAGTCAGTATGCATTTACCAAGATGAAGGCTGAGAAGAAAGTCTTACGGGCTAATGGCAGTCTGACAGCAAATGGTACCCATCTGGTTACGTGCTCATTAAGATCACTTGTGATGTATGGGGAAGGAGACACAGCATTCCTTCCAAATGTAATTGATTCTGCCAAAAAGCAGCTTGGTTATTTGCCCAGGATGGGTGATGGTAAAGCCAAATTTAACCCATGCTATGTGGGTAATTCTGCCTGGGCTCATGTCCTTGCAGTTGATGTTTTGAGGAAAAACCCAAAGGAAATTGCTGGAAAAGCTTTTTTTATTGGCGACAACACTCCAGAAAGTAACTTTTTTGACTTTGTGGAACCTTACTTAGCAGCTACTGGATGTGATTTGCTTAATGTTTCGATTCCATTTGTTGTTATTTTTTATATTGCTTTCATTTTGGAGTGTATTGTATGGGTATTAAGTCCAATTTGTAACCTCTCTTTAGCCATTACCAGGTCCTCTGTGGTCACTGTGTGTAAGGGTGTGACAGTAAGTTGGAGAGTTGCCAAAAAACAACTCAGTTATGAACCAATTTTTTCATATGAACAATCTAAGAATAACACCTTAAGATATCTCATAGAAAAGTATGTTACTTAAAGTTGGCTAAACATTAATTTTTTTTTAAGCATTTTTCCTGTAGAAGAGAAGGAAATTTTTACAAATTCATTCTTATTGTTGAGCAACATATAACCTAATGTCATCATATGATCTTTCCACCCCCCTGTAGTTTGCTTTTGTTTAAAAGCACTGTGGAAGAAATGCCCAGTATGAGTGCCTATGCATGGGTAGGAGCAGGACAGGAAAGAGCTTCATGACCTAGCATATGGCCTCACAAGATGTAGAGGCTACTCTGAAAATTACATGAAGTAAAAAAATTTGGTGTTTTTTATGTTATGAGATATTGTTTCAGATAAATGGAGTTCCCTTTGATAATTTTGCCTACTGTCAGCATGATAGGCCCCTTTAGAACCAGTACCAAATGGTTCTTTTGGAAATGGCTCCACACTTAAGAGAGCAAGTCTCTAAAATATTTTTAAAACTCATGTGGTTGATACAGACTATAGGTACACTTGTTGATTCAGGGCAAGTGACCAAGGGAGGTGCCTATTTAAAGAGCATTGACAAATGAATATTGCTAAAATAAATCAGCAACAAGTGAGAAACTAAAAATTTTCAAACACAGCCAAATACACCTTAACCGAGATTTACCCATAGGAAGGGAAAACCTTCCTTATACAGGAAAGCTGTCTTTCGTTTAATTTTTCATCAAAACTCACTCCAGTTTTGCATTTTATTTCTTACCAAGACAAAGCACAACTGATGGAACACTTTAAATCCAAGGTTTTCTGCTTCTCTCCCTTCCACAACCAATGTTTTCTTCTACATTTGCTTTTCTAGGAATGCAAACAGAGCTTCCTGCCACCCTTTTTCAGTCTTTGTTTTTTTTTTTTAATGAAGTCTCATGCATGTATTAGACATAGGCATGCTATGCATGCAAGAGTTTTTTTTTTTTTTTTGTTGAATGGGTAAGTTGAGGTGGGACAGTTTGTGTCTGATGTTCTCACTTTTGTTAAAAAAAAGAGCATGACTTTCAAGAGAACGAAAATATTGCATTACGTTTTCTTGACAAGAAAGAGTAAAAAAAACTGTCCAATTTGTCTGAAATAAACTCACCGGCAGGTATTTTGTGGTCTTTTGTCTCTGCTGTTTGAATACTTTTGAGCAAAAATAAATTGCGTTGGTGCCACGCTTATCGTATTCTCCTTCGCAGCCAAGGTTTGGTATTATATTGTCACACAAGGCCCTTGTTCCCTCCTTGGACTAGAGAGCGCATTACGTGACGAGACCAAATAACAGTTGCGAAGGAAACCACGCTTACTGCCGATCGTTTGTCTGAGACGGAATAAAAATTATACACTTACAGTTGCCTTTAAAATGTCATTCCACGTAATTTTACTTGGGAAAGCAAACTGAAACTCTTAAATTAAATCTCCAGTAGACTCTAACCAAAGATATATTGCGATCTCCATTCTTCAAATAGGTGAAGATGTATTCAACAAAGAGAAAAATATCATTTTTCAAAGGGGGGCCCCTTGGGTTGTTGCCTATCTGAACTCTGCCCCCTGTTTGTGGAATACATGATAACCTGCAGGTTGTTTACAACAAATCAAAAAGAAAAATAACTAAAAAATTTCCTCACCCCTACGGAAGTCAAAAAGTTAGATCACCAGCCACAAGTACTAATTAAAGTGCTGTAAGTATGACCACGCTTGTCACTTACACTTCAAGCAGTTTACACAACTGTCCGTAGAGTTTGGAAACCCACAATCATAAGTCAAGAATACACAAGCAAGAACCAAACAATGAAGATCTGTAAATTAATGAGCCTTTTATAGCTGTACCGTGATGTAGACTAAACACTGTTATTTCAACACAGTCTAAAAATTTAAGCGTTAGGAGTCCATAAGTTTACAGCCCACATATATAAAAGAACTCTCCTACGAAGATTACATTAATCAGTTACATTAAGTTCAACTCGAGTTTGCCTTTTGATACCGGTCACTTTTCCAACACGCAAACTGTCTGACAACTAACTTGCCCATAACATCCTTCATAACCACTTGATAATGATCTCATCTTCTTAAAATCATGACAGGTCTCGAGTCAACGAGTTAGGCATAAACTTAAGGATTTGACAGAGAATGTTGGCAAAAAAACCGATATGTGGGCGAGTTGGCTCGTTGTGTTGGCGAGTTTGATTTCGTCGAAGTTACAGGGTTACATTTTATTCACAACATGGCCATAAGCTGATGGCGCTGGGTGGGTCCTTCAAATGCATCTTCCAACATTTATCTTCCCTCATCCATCCTAATCTTGACTAACACAGAAGTCACGTTGATTTACGATACAACAAGCAACAACTACATCTAGTGTTGAGTCAATGAGTTATTTTCTATCCATTCCTTAATTCACACGTTTCCGGCCTTACAGCAAATTTGTCCCCAAATGCGCTCTCGTTTGGAGCAGTTATTCAATGCATGTCTGTCCGTGAGTTGAGTTGGTCAGTGACGTTTAAGCCAATGTTGAAGTATCATCTCTTTTTACATTCTGTGTCATGAATCTCAAACGAATCTGCAAGGACTGGCGAAGCTGAGGAATGATCTTGAGTACTTCATCTTTGATAATATCTCCTATAAACATGTACTTTATGTGGTATCTTAGATATATAGTTAAAGAACTTAAACTAATAAATGTTCTCTACATTTTGGAGATCTGACGGGATTTTCAAGTCATTTTTGAAGAAATTGTAACACTTTTAAGTCAGAGTATCAGAGCGATCTTAACGAAAGGGACGACAGTGTTACCTTAAATCACCTGATATTTATAGCGAATAAAGGGGGTAAGTTTCTAAAGAAACTGTGGTGCTGCGTCGGTGGGAGAGTATAGTAGGTAATTTAGTGTTAACAACTGAGTTGAAAACGTAAATTGGCCACAGTAAAGAATAACAAAGCTGACGTTTCAAACGTTAGCCCTAACGCTCGAAACGTAAGCTTTTTATCCTTTACGGTGGCCAATTTACGTTTTCAACTCAGTTGTTAACACTAAATTACCTGATATTTACAGCGAATTGCTGTATCTAACAATATAATTCTTAAAAATAAACTTCCGTTACAGATAAACCTTTTCTTCTATTAACGCATGTAAAACATTTGAAAAAAAAGGCAATTTGGTTTTATCAAATGAGTTGATAATGTAAATTGGCCACAATAAAGAGTTTCTTAAGCTGACTTTTCGAGCCCTTCATCAGAGCGAATTGTTCACTCTGACGAAAAAAACAATGACCTTGTTACACCCCCCACCGACGAAACACCACATTTTCTTTAGAAACTTACCCCCTCAATTCATTTGAAAAAGAGGTTTTTACGAATTTATTTGACAGTAATTCTTAATCGAGATGAGAGCATTTTACGACAGATTCATCCATAATATTCCTTTACAGCAGGATACAAGAAGTCACAAATTGTGTCAACGTGGTGAATATGCTGAACTTCTCTGTTAATTTTTTCCAGCAGATGATACAGCTCCACAACAACCTGTCAAATTAAAATGAAAATAAAGAGAGTCAAAATGCACCAGTTTAAATAGCTGAGCTATTCGCTCACGTACACGGTTGGAGCAACTATCAACTATACAAAACCGCACAAAGTTCACTTTCCATGCCACCTTCTCATCCAATCACCACTTGGCATCTAGCCTGCGAGCAGACCGTTGTTATTAGCCCTTCGGCAAGAGCGTTTCATTGCCCACGAAAACCTTGGCAAGTACCTGGAAAGAGGTCTGGAATCAGGTCTAGCACTGATAATGAGTACCAGACCTCTGGCAAACCTCTTCTCGACTTGGGTCAAATCTGCGGGCGGAAAAAACGTGCGTCCTGCAGCGCCTGCTCACAGGCTACTTGGAATCTCGCATTTTCTTGCCCTTAAAAGTTGGTCACGTGTTTTAACTTCCAGCTCTGATTGGCTTGTGATGGTTTCCTTCGTTCCCATCAGCCCTTAAAATTATTTTGCTTCTTTTTTCACGACAGAGGGTTCTGATTAGTTCTATTTGCCTTCGCTAAAATCGTTAGTCGAGATTTGTCTTAACATGGACGCCAAAATATCGGGTCACCGAAAGTATTTTTTCAGTTTTTTTTGGGACAAAATCAGCTGTTTTGAAGCTGACTTTACAAAAGCTGTTAAAAGGAAATGGTAGATGACGAGAAAACACAAGCGACACATGGGAGACTGGGAACCGCTCAGCGAATATCGCAGCGACTGGTCACTGCGGAAAGCTACTTCGCGTGATCTGCTTCCAAAACAAGTTTACATTCATGCTACGGATCGAAATCGAAGCGACTTAATTCTGCTGCAGAGACAAAGATTTTCACTAAATTCTTAATGTCAAACGAGGCGAACGCAGTGACTCGTCGCTCAGAGTGTTCCGCCCTTGATACCTCTTGTAGACATCTGAGTCTTTCTTGGGAAAAACGTTGAAGGAATGGTCCAACCAGATGACACACGTAAAGAAACTGAGCCTCATTTGTGACCAGCGGAGATACGCGGTCACGAAGAAACCTATGAAGAACAAAAGGCACGAGTTAGAAAAAAAAGGAAGGCTGAATAGTTGAAACTAAGGTCTATGAAGGTAACACAGTGCACCTACGCTTAGGGGTCCTTCAATATTTAAAACCACACTTTGTACACGGCCGGTAAGATTGAGATTTTAAACAAACCGTTCGTCAGGAGGCCAATCAAAACTACGATTGAAAAAAAAAGAGAGATAAAACAAAGGCAAACAAAAAAGTGCCAAATTTTAACATCGCATTAAATTGTGATATGATTAAGTGTCTGAAGACATTCGTAATGCTCAGGGTTCAGTCACGTTTTCCAGGGCTTGAGACAAGGTACATGCATGCATTTTTATTTCGCATCGGTTAGTTTGGTATTTTTTTTAAACTTTGTTTACTCTTAGTCAGGGGTTTCATTAAAGCCAGTTACCGGCGGTCCACTGTCGCCTATAAGACCTCTTACCGCCATCTGTTCAGCCTGCGAGCAGCACTCGTGTTTGGGTTTCGTCTTACAGCCCATTTCCGGGCATTGCCGCTTACACTATTGGTAGTCGCTTACGCAAAAAGTTATTGAAACCCCTGTTTTAGTGCATAGTTTGTTTCGGGTTCTATGACACTTAACTGAAGTGTGTTTTTGGTTACATATAAGTAACTGTCTTCAAAGCTTTGGTCAAAATGACTTGAAGTCATGCTTTGTAACTAAAAAAAGCATTCCTGTTGGACAATACCTTATTATAATCATAGAAGGAAGTCGAAATACAAGTACACTACGCAGTGAAAGTTTTACAGTGACAAAAAATATAATACATTTGGGCGCAAACAATTCAGCTGTACGTACTGTGGAAGCTGGCTCAGTTGACCGATACTTGTATGGTGCCAGACCGCATGCGCGACTGCCAAGACATAGTCAGCGGCGGTCTCTGAATGCATGGCGACATTGGTAGAGAACTCTAAGAATGAGTAAGGGAATGGGGCGGCTCTCCCACGGTCCTCGAGAACGATAGGAGTTGTCGATACTTCCTTGGCAGAGAGCTCTCTTCTGAGAGCCATACAGATTTTATCATACACTACACTCCAGTAAGGCTCCTAATGATTACATGAGAGATAAAAACAAAGATAACGGAAGGTAGTCCAAAGC